TATCATTCTTGATTCACTAAAATATAACATCGAATCCAAGCGAGTCCGGACTCCAAAATATATACCTAGTAGTCAAAACCGATGAAACCAGTCCTCGACTGAGACGCATATTCACGAATCCCCGCAATATCAATTATCCCGAACGACGATTGAGATTCTTCACCATTCCAATAAGGAGCCTTCAAAATCTTCATTCCCACTCCCCGTATTCGCGATGCAACTTCCTGTTGCATTCAAAAATAGGCTATTACGCATACGCATATCCGGATCTCCCTTTATATATAACACAAGATATATCTGACGCAATTTTCGCGAATTAATCTATATGCCTGGAGACTTGGATACTACCCCATAGACATAAACGAACACTGCGACACTCTAACTGCACTTGGAAAGACGTTGACTCGGAGACGTCGCCAAGTCCCGATACTGCAATGGCGAGACCAGTAATCCTTACCTTAGATGAAACAAAATGTAACGGTAAGACAACACAAGGACTGTCCAGCAAACAATATTCCCATCCATTCGGATTCCCAGACCAGCATACGAGACAAAACCTACCGAATCAACTTCCTTAGAATAAACAAATCAAATACTATCTGTCCATACATTCACTCTAATCGCGCGCTTGGGACTCGTATGTATGTACACGTGCGTGCACATACAACAATACACTTGTTTTCCTTACTCCGTACAGCTTTGTACGTGTTGTACATCATTCAAGACCATTTCGCTACACCACCTTCTATTTATCTCCAGGGGAATCTCCGGTTGGTTCGAGCTTTTGAGTGTAGAGTACGTGCAGATGTGGCTTGCAGGCTTTTGCAGAATACCAAGCGCTTGCGACTGTACTTCATACATGAAGAAAAAATTGGAGAGAAAAGATAACACAATAGAGATGGAGATGGAAATGGAACTGTAGTCAGCAAGCCATTAAGTCAGCTAGAGCCTAGCAGGCAAGTAAAATGAAGAACGCAGTAAACACCGAAAAGGAAATGCAAGAGAAGAAAATGGATACGTGATACTAGAGTTCTACCAATCTCTTCCCATGAAGTGATTTGGTAGTTAATAAGTGAATGGAATATAGGTACTAGCGAAGTCTGACGTGGTACTTATCCACCTGTCATTGACGATGAGAATGGCGATATAAAACTGATGTGCCGGATAGCCATAACCATAACCATACTGTTAATCTCCTCAAATCGTCATTTGTCGAAATAAGAAATATCTGGTTCGTTAGGTACGGAGTAATTTGTGATCAGCAAAGGATCCTTGGCATAATAACACCTACCGAACCATGAAACCATTGATGATCTGATCTAAACTCTTGGATTCCAACCCCTCCATGATTGAATGAATCTACAAACTCTAAACGCCGATTTCATTAGACTCGGGGTTGATGCTGGTCTAGTGTGGTGGGGGAAGTATAATGCAACTTGTTCTACTCTTCTAGAAAGAAAAATAAGCCTGATAAACAGTCGGTGAAGAAGCGAGATCAATGCAAACTGCACCTGGACAGACCCCAACCCATGTTTACTTGTACACTAGATATGCAGACTTTCAGACGTTGGAATTGAAAGTTCTACATATTGTAAAAGTAGGTACTTCGGTAGTCAAGATGTATGTGTAGGTAGTAGTGTTAAAGTTCTTCGTGCGGCCTAGGTTGATGAATCTTCTTTAAATTGGGCGCACATGACGCCGTGATATTTTAATCGTATTTATTTGTGCCACCTATGTACATAGCAGAGAGAAGTAAGAATTATGAGCCTACAGAGTGTCTAGTAGATATCTCCAAAAGCTCGTAAGCTTTTCAGATGTTGGTGGCGGGGTTAATGCTCGAGCCAGCAGTACGAAGGTGGCACGAAATAAACGCTTTGACAGTCTCTGTAACATGCGAGGGCATGACTGTTGAACCAAGAAGAAAAAAAAGATATTAAGATATCGATCAAAGTGACGAGTCTGGTTAGAACTTTAGAAAAAAGATAAGATCTTATCTAAATACCGGCCGGAATAAGGTTTGGTTAGATTTTCTGCTTACCTATTAAATATTCATAACCATGTCCATGCCATTGACGCAAGCCATTTCCCTTCGTTTCCCTCAATCTCAATCCCTCAATCTCACCTCCTTCATCTCTCTCGCTTCACCGCTGTCCTTGTCCTTGTAACAAATGTCTAGTCGGAGAAAAGATTTGATAATTTTTTTCCGATGAAGGATTGCTCAGTCGTTTGTTTTCCATTCGCAATCTTAAACAATTGTATTTTGATTATCTGATTACCTAGACAACAACCGCTGCGGTGGACAACGATAAAGAAAATCATCCGTGATTCAGATAGAATATCAATTGATCTCTTTCTCCTCCTTCGCTTGCTCCGTTATAAACGATGTCATTTCCGATATGCTCATTTCGTTTGAGAATGTCGCAGTGATGCATCCCGAGGCATCCGATACCTAGAAGAATATCTTCCTAAAATATGATATATGATGAAAAGTATCAAATCATAATGTTGAGAGTCACCTGCTTAATTAGCTCATGATTGGGGGGGAAGCACTCTTTTTTCTTTGCAGATGAGATGTAATCCCCACACACATTATTGTGCATATTCCATACATGCACGCCGTGCTCTGTATGGCTTGTGGAATAAAGTATTCGCGAGGCGCGGCCAAGCTTACATATTTGACGGTGCATGTAACACACACACCTTGATGAGTGAGTAGACTAATAATAATGGTAGTTAGTCTCTTGGATTTTATGACCGGCATATACCATTGGCCTACATATCATTATCCTTCCTTTGGATTCTTTTGCCTTGTATGTTTTTTTTTGGGATTGCCTTCCTAATCATTCACTCATCCCATCCAAATGCATGAAGAATGTGAAAGTAGGAAAAAAAATCCTATCAAGTAGTTGCAAATATCGTAGCCACCACTTCAACGATGGCGGGGCTCCTCATGCCGAAATGCGTCATTCCTATTTTGTTTTCCACTGCTTTCTCGAGTCTCTGGTACACCGATCATTCAATGGTGTGTGCGTTAAATCCACTTCTTCCATTCGTTATCAATTTTGTGGATCACACACTTATTAGTGAACCCGTATAAACCGTTTGTATGGAGTGATGAAGTGATAAAGATGGCATGACAGACAATCATTCTCATAGTTGAAGGGAGCTGAGTCAGGAACTAAGCGCGCTTGACTCTTCAAAAAGATCACAGACATTCGGAATGTGAAAGATTAGAATAGTTTCACATGACCTTCTCACACGGGTCATCGAGGCTGAATTTTTGTTTCGCATGTTTCGTATCACCAAACGAATTCGCACTTGGAGTAATATGGATATTGATCAAAATGTGACTGAGGTCAGCAGAATTCTTAGCGAAGAAAGAGTGTGCCATGGGATGGCTCGACGCGTGTAGATTATGAAAAGATGGTGGCGAAGATAGACTCAAGAATGTGTCTCTCGAAGGAATCACTACATACAACCATTGTAAGATGCTCAAGCGGTGAAGCGGTGAAGGAAGAAGGATTCGTAGTTTGGGACCTAAAGATGCAAGCAATGGTAGATGAAGGTATCGTAAGAAAAGGCAGACGGTAGCTTATGTTATGTCTGCTCCTGGGCCTTGGCTTGTTACCCCAGCCCTCAAGTGTCTTGTCCCTTTGGTAGAGCGGCCGTAGATAGTAGTTGGCGTAATGATCCACTTAACCGTTTCCCTAATAAGGTTTTGAGTTTGGGGAGTTTTTCTTCCTCTTCGTTGCCGAGTCTGGGATTCATTTCAAGAAATGCGAATCATGGCAAGATTCCTCAAACATCGGAAACTCAAATCCGGAATGGAGGGGTAAGGAAAAGGATATTCGGGCACGATTGCTCTTGAGGGAAGATTTGTGGTGACTTGTTAAAGTGATGGTGGGGTGTTTGAGACAAGGATAACTTATAATAAATATGAAAAGTCGGCTGGTTGTCTTAGATGACTATTGCTTGCCTTTCCATAGGAAGCCCTGCAGACAGTAAATCAATTTTCTGCCCAATAATCCACCCAGCCTTCAAAATTCCCCATAGCATCCCATCAAAAAGTCTCCAAATAATTTTCACGATGTTACTCAAAACCTGGTGACCTTGACCAAAAATCTTCCGATTTCCAGAGATCTTGACCCATAAGGTTTTGATACTTCCCCCCTTTCGTTATGCTTCGTGACGTCGTCATGAATGACTGGGTTTTCCAGTATTCGACGTGTTCAAAAAAAGTGACAGCAGGTACTCCGTAAATCACTGTATACCCACCCGTTGCGTGCGGGCTCAGGGCAGCATTAATAAGGCATCAAGGAACCTTGGAGGGGTGATGGTTGAATTCCGAAGACAAGGCGTTGATGAAGGAGATGATGTACATTTGATATGCACCTTGGCAGCCTTGAATATGGGTAGATACGAGTAATGGTCGTCGATATATATCGGTGCCGACGAGATGATACAAAAAGAAACAAGCCGGGTGTAGATCTGTATCAGAATATGTATCTTTATTGGGGGGGGGGAACCGACTGAAACGAGGGTATGTTATGATGTAGATGTAGCGGTGGTCGACGATGAGGTGGTAGATGGAATGATCAATCCCGTTTTGGTAACATTGCTCCATGGATGAATATCATCAAGACCTAGGTACCTACTGATACTATCCACTGACTACGACCTACGACCTACTACCTCTTACCTCCCTAGGTATTACTTTTTTCCTTTTTCGGCGTTGAACTCGTTTGTTTTGATTTATCTTCGGTCGGAGGCAGGTAAGCAGCTGGATGAAAAAGCTGTTACCAGCCCGCCGTTACCATTGAATGATCAAAGTGTTAAATCCTAGACACGCTGCCCATAATTACCCATAGTTGCCCATATCGAGAATAGCCCTTCCCGCCCTTCTCGCCCTTGTGTCTCTCTTTGTATGTACTAGGTAGTATACGTGCTATATTTGCAATTTGGGTAGGATTTTTCTTCTTTTTTTAAAAAGGGTCTATGGTCTATTGATCTCCTACCTTGTCTCCTTGTTACCTGGTCCATGACATTTATTACATTCGCGCACAGACTTCAGCCATTAGAGATTGGGAAATGCGACAATCTAACCTATCAACTCCTCGATAGCGAATACTCCAATTTCCAAATCCACTCCACATCTGCGTCGCTCTCCCACTCTTCAAATTAACGAAACATCCTCACCTATTATATCGTCCGTCTTGTCCATCCTCGCCGCCGCCAGATTATTGTGCTCGATAAGTGCATAGAATAATTCCGCTGATCAGAACCAAGAGAAGAGTGAGAAACATCCCCACAAAACAATCCATCCCGCTCTCCTCTTCGCACACCTGCTGAATGCTGAATATTCAATACTCAACCAATACTCAATACTCAATACTCAATAATTCAATACTTCAATCCAATCAAATTTTATTCTTGTGCTGGTATTGGTGCTGGTGCTGGTGCTGGTGCTCATTGCTCGTCGCTCTTCGCTCGTTGCTTGGTGCCTCTTCATCCTCTCCACTCCTCGCTTTCTGAATCGTATTTCCTCTAAACGGACTTCTTCGCACATATTTCTCTTCTTCTTCCTCTTCTTCCCGAGCTTCAGTCTACAAGGTCCTTCTTAAATATTTGTTTTCTGTTAATTTAATTTCTACAGTACATAAATTGTTCAGCACATACGCTACGACTTGATATTGCATCTGGCGTCACAAACTAGGAAGAACCCTTAAAAAAAGCCAGGGAATAGATGCTTGTGAGTGGGTATTTGATCTCATGTACCCTGGTCTTACAGTAGTGGAGTATTCCTGTACAACGAAAGAAATTCGACGAACGAACGGCCGAACTCGCTTTGCATATCCATAACGCCTGCATACACACGATCCATACAGAAGGAAGGCCCTCGAGCCGGTAAACTATTGGTCCCTCGGAACCTTGGTATAATACTTCGCAAGCGGCAGAACTTCTCTGTTTAGATATTGTCGTCGCAGAACTTAGGGAGTGTCCCACCCTTCTCTTCTTCGTTCGATCTTTTTCTCTTCCCAAGAAGTGTCGTGAAAAGTCTCAGAGCTGTGTTGCTCTAGGTTCTCAGCACCACGATAGGAGCGTTGAAAGAGGTACGTTCAAAAAATTTCCTATCCGTTTTCGATCTTCGTTCCGAGAAACACATCTTCTATCATATGCAGGAGACTTTTTTCGCGAACCTAAGAGGCGGTGATCGTAGCATTTGACCTTCTGCGCGTGGAAGACACGGGCGAAGAGCTCCATGGCTTTTTAGGAGATGGCACCAGATGGGATCTTTCTTTCCGAACCATTCACACATGAGATACTATGTTGTTGTCACACCAAATGAACTGAAAACTTTCTAACGACGTTGTGTAATCTGCAGACTGCCCAAGCAATTCCTTTCTCAAAACCTCGAGTCGTACTATTGCCATACCACGAACGTTTCCTATCGAATACAAGGCCAGCTGGTAGCCTGGTTTGAAGCGACTCTTTTCCCGTCGAAGGGCTCTTGATTGTAATAAACATTGGTGAATGAAACACATGCATCCTTAATGATGGATACTGAGGATGGACAGTTCTTCATAAAGGTATTTGGAGACCCCTAACTTTATGCCTTATCATGGCAGTTACTGATAAAACTTTTTCTTGCAGAACTTGGCCCACTTCGTTCGTACACATGAAAAGGCTCTCGCGAATGCTTTACAACTACGACGTCAACAAGCTCCTAAACATGGCTCCTCGAACAGCATATCTGGTGCTGTTGGAGGGTCTACCACCCCTTCCCCAACAGTGACAAACCAGCCGTCATCTGCCTCTTCTTCTACGACTTCCAGTACCCTAGCAGCTGCTCTTTCTCTCCCATACCTTACCTTCGCCTCTCATAACATCAAACCTGCTAAGCTCGCATTAACACCTCATCATCTATTCTATCTCCTTTCCCGAATTGAAGATCTAGGTGTTCCAGTTGGCCCAATGAATGTGCGGTTAGAAAATCTTCATGCAGATACATCAGCAGCAAATTACGTTTCTTTTCTGAGTCAATCCCAACGTCCAAAAGGTCGTGGCTCTGACAATGGATCTATTCACTCCGTGTCTAGTGTGAGAAGTGTGATGTCTGGCATGTCTTCTTTGTGGTCGAACTTTGGCCTTGGGTCTGGAAACTCTGCCGCTCGAACAGAGAAACAAAAAGCTGCCACTGAAGCCGACTTGAAGTACCTGTATTCAGCATTTACTAAAATTCCTTGCCTTAGACTTGCTCCGGATCGTCGCGCGCGTTTGATTGAAGGCTATGAAGAATTCCCGTTCGATTCCGCCGTTCCACTGATTGCCTTTAAAAATGTTAGTGCTTTGGAAATAAGTGATATCGACATTCGACAATTTTTCGGTTGGGACAAGCTAGCCGAGCAATTAAGATCATTGACAGTCAAAAGGGCAGGTGTTGATGATCTAGCTGATTTATTGATCAATATCGTGTTGGATGATATGGACAAAAGGAGGCGGCGCTCTTCCAAGGCACAGATGTCACCAACTTCAACCTTCATTCCCGCATCGAGTCCAAGACGTAGCCCAACAATGCCACATGCCGAGCTGATAAAATCCTGTTCGGCACCTGGGTCACCGGATGGTCGCAGCCATATTACTGATACCGAAACAAGAGGATTAGCGCGTTCTGGATCTGATGGGGCCGAGTTTGGTAAATCTCCCACCAAGCATGGACAAAGACCAAGAAGCAATTCTCCAGTTCGTCCACCAAGTTCTCGTACTGGCTCTTCACATGGCCACCTTCGTGGCTCATCATACAAGGTGAAGAGATCTGGATCCGGGAGTTCACATTCAAGCATGTCTGATAGCTGGCACAACCCGCGGAATAGCACCTCGAATCTGTTATCTATGGGTTTTCTGCCATCTTCAAAGTGGAGATTCTTGAAACATCTTAGCATTGCAGACAACGGCCTGACGGCTATTACTGCCTCCAGCCTTGCACCCTTAGCTAACACCCTCCACTCACTTGACCTTTCATCGAATCTGTTTGCCCAAATCCCCGATTGCTTAGCGTCCCTTACCGCACTACGAGCACTGAATCTCTCTAACAACATGATTGAATCTCTTCATTCTCTTACTCGGAACCCACTGCCTGCTATATCTGCTCTTAATCTACGGTCAAATCGTCTCACATCACTAGCTGGAATTGAAAGGCTTTATCCTCTAGAAAGGCTCGATCTCCGTGATAACAAGATTACTGATCCAACAGAACTTGCTAGACTGACGGGTATTCCAGATATTCGAGAGATATGGATTAGTGGCAATCCATTTACCAAAACACACAGTAACTATAGGACTACGATCTTCAACTTATTCAGGCAAACTCCAGGATACACCGAGGATATTTTGATTGATGCTTATGGACCAGGTTACACGGAAAGGCGGCATTTAGTCGAACGCGCTGCAGAACGCCCAGGTGTGCCTGTTGTCAAACCACCTCCTCCCGATTATGGTCTGTCTGCTATTGAGGTCAATAAACCAATTATCGAATATGCTGTACCAAGAGAACCTGCAGTACTTCGGAAAGAACGACCAACACCCGTTGCTGCGACAAGTGAAATCAACACTGGCACTACGGGCCGAAGAAGAAGAACTCCAAAGCGACGAATCGTAGATTTATCGACTTCAGAAACGTCACCAAGGAAGCAAGGATTGACCCGCGTTCTAATGCCAGAGGAACCACCACCATCTATGTCAAGGACAGTGTCAGATAGTAGCTATGGCATAAGTCCCGTTTTTTCTCCTATGGTTCTTCCTTCCTATGTACCTTCAGAACCTCGCCAGGCCCAAAGACAGCCAGATGTCCCACGTATCAACACTTCAGTATTATCTCGTCTACCTCCAATGCCGGCGGTAGAATCAGTACCTTACGAAACAGCAATTAAGCCACAGCCAGTCAAGACTCCAGATACCCCTGACTGGAACATGAGCGGCGAGCTATATCGGAAGAAGATAGAGGCTCTAAGAAATGATGTTGGGCAAGGATGGTTGAGTGTATTAAGCGAAGAAGGCTGGGAGGCTCAAAAGAAGAGTCAGCCGCCCGGATATCAAACCTCCGAATATGAATCAGCAAATACTATGAGACCGGGCTCTACAATTAGGGCAGTCAGTCAACAGACGATACACAGTGGTCGCACTCTGGGTTGAAGTGCACACACCAAAAGCGATTTTTTTTTTCATGCAGATACGAAATCAGAATGGCTCGACTTTTAAGAGCACATTGGTCGAGTGGTTGAAAGGGAGTGTAGTCCCTGCGCTTAAAGGATCATTGTCAATATTGATGGTGGTTAAGTTAGAGGGAAGTGAGAGAAGAGGAACTTGTTTATTTTGATACCCCAAGCCCATTCTTCATCGTTTTTTGAGAAAATTGCATGACGGACGACTCTACTCTCGATATAAAAGGGCACATTGCATGAAAGAGGCACTTATTTTCTACTTTTATTTATTTTTCTGGCTCGAATTTTTATCATCATGGAAAGCATGCATAGCGTTTAGGTTGGAGGTTCATTTGCTGTTTTTATATATTTCCTTATGAACGAATCAATGATGGATTGGAACAGAAAAAATTTCGGCTTCTTCGAGAATGAATGAATGGATTATGTTACTAGATCTTGAGAGGGAGAGAGAGAATGGAAGACAGCCAGAGTTACGAGAAGAGAGAAATCTTCTGTCAGATCAAGCAATGACATATTTGTAACATATTGGTTTTTTTGTGCATGGAGTTTTATGGTTAGGGAATACTTTTTCATTTCGCCTACCCATGGGTTGATATTTGAGATGGATGGATGGGTCGGGGCGTTTGAAGTCACGAGTAATTATTGGTCTGCCTGACCTGACATGATTGGGCTGGGATCTGGATGGTGGGAGCATTTACACGAATAGTGGATGTGCTTGGGATGGAGGGGCGGAGGTGGGAGGCTTATGTCAATGGGTTATGTTCAAAAAGGAGCAAGCGAAAGTGGACGTATCAGATTTGAGGCTCGGGGAAGCAGGCGAGGGGAGGGAGGGGGGAGAAATTGAGCCTTGGAGAGGTGTGAATAGAGGTGGATTAATGATATGAAACTTGTTCTTTTGTGATGATGATTTTACTGAGCTTTTCTTTTGCATTGTAATGTGCAGTGAGTACAAAGGATAGAGAACAACAAATTCTTCTACCGAGAACGGGAAACTCTGGTGATAGTCAGCAGCAGATGTGTAAGTAAGTATTTCCAGTAAGTGCTGGACAGACGAACATACAGCATAAGAAACGGTGAGAGGAGTTATCTATGACATCATGACACATATGCACGAGAAAACTTTATCCTTATGCTTTCTGGGGACTTTCTTTGAGACTGGAGAGGTTGGAAGACTGGACGAAAGAGAGGGGTTGGAGGGGTAAAAATATATCGGGAAAAAAAGGAAAGGAATACCCTTGAAGTTGCTGCCCAAGTCTAAATTTATTTCTGCACATCATCTGATCCTTTTCCGTATTTCCGTTTTGGGATTGGGGTCTCCCATCTAGCGTCTCTCATTATCATGCCCACCAATGTCAGTACTGGAAGGATTCTAGGAGTACCTGTATACCTAGTCTCTCTTATCGGATGACTGTAAGAGGGTCTTGAAGGCACATCGGGAATGGCGAATGTGACGCCTCATCGGATGATTCGCATTCGCATCGGATGATCGGGTGATGGGTGGAGGTGGAGGTGGAGGTGCAGATGCGTTTGGGTGGATCCACTCGGATGGGTCTATCCACCCAGGTTATGATGGTGTGGTGTAGGGCGGCTAAGTGGGAGGAGAGGAGTTAGCGGGTGGAAGTTTCAGCCCTACTTTTTCGGCGGTGAGGGGTAGGGCGGCGAGGAACTAAGAGGGTTGGTGCTCAGAGTTGGAGATTTGCCTTGGTTGGTTCGGATTTGTGTTTAAGGTTTTGGGTTTTAGTTTCGGGCGTTTAGGCGTGGGTACTTCATCGGGTTTTTTTCTAGCGTGTCATTGTTGATGTACATACCTACATACCTACATACCTACATACATACAGACGTAAGTACCGTACTTGTGTTGAAAAAAATTGGCGGTGTCGCTGGTCTTGCTAGCTTTGCCTGTTTGCCGTGGTGGAATTGGTAGCTTGTGGAATGGATGGAACTTAGCTTGAGCGATGTGCGTTTTGATGTTTGCTAGTTGTCTTGCTTTGGCTTGAAGTCTACTGTCTAGTGTCACATACTTCAATCATTTGCGCGTCGACGCGGGCGCGAATACACCAGCTGGTGTGAATACGGATATGCGGCCTTTGGATTTCGCGTTCACGTTGTTCTTTGTTCTTATTCTCATGTTTGTTCGTCTGGTCTGGTGATGGAGCTAGTTGTACGATGGAGTATGGGATTTGGGTTCTGCAGTAGTCTTCTGTCTGTTCTTACCGCTTCTTTGTCTGTTTTGCGTGGGTGCTTATGCGAGGGGGTTGTGTGATATGTGGATGTGGAGTGTGGAGTCTTGATTGGAGAGGATTTTCTTAATGTTGTGTGCCTTGGAGACGCCGGCGCTAGATTGTGGGGTGAGAGCGGAATCGTCCTTTAGTGCTCAGATTGTCTTTTTTTGCGTCGGCTGGATTGCGGGGTTACTGTTGTGCTGCGCTGTTGTTGTTGCTATTGTACAGAATCTTCTTACTTAACACTAGACCTAAATTTTAGATTTTACGCACCATGCATATACACTATGAGGTATAGTTGGCACATTTCTAGATTGGGTCCTGCGTGTAGATCTTGTCACACGTCTGAAAATGCAAACCGACCGCGGACCGTTGAAAGGTTTTCAAACGAAATGCTATGTGCTTCGCCAAAGTATCAAGTGCTTTCCTGTGTTGCATGTCTTATGCGTACCTACAATTGGACACGTTGATTTAGTCTCGGATGATTCTTGTTAAACTTGCGTTTGTCGTTGTGGCATACATGAATAGGACATGGACCCTCGTATGTTCTCTCACAACTTCCAATTTCAGAGTGGTAGATATGAAAGTATTTGCTACAGATCAAGAGTACATACGAACCATGTTCTTAAGCGTGTAGGACGGTCATTCGTCGGGCTTATGGCTGATCTCTGGTTGTGTATATACAAGTTCGTACGGACTGTGCCTTTTAAGTGTTGTGATTAGCTTCTGGTTTATGAAATGGATATAGACATGTTTATCTTCTTAGAATGGTCTGACAACTGGCTGGCATACGATGGTACCTCACTATCACCCTCGCTCTCGCTTCTGTCCCTATCGATATATGTGTACCTAGGTAGATATTGGATTGAGGTGATGAAGTCATACACTATATTCATATTGTTAACTTCGTCTCGCTCCTCTACTTCTCTCGACCTCGATCTCTCATTTCTCAGATTGCTTGGTTCTGTTCTTGACTCTCTCGATTATATGGTATATTATGAAATGAGAGATTAAGATTCTTGCATCCATTTCGTTGACTATCTGCTGGGCTGAGGTTCAATATGTCTAAATTAAGATAAGCTACTTGAGAGAGGGTGGCCCGGGTGCGATGGAAGATCTACCTAGACTGTTGGTTTCGGTAACTCTGTGAGAATTTGGAGATTGGAAGTAGAGAATCCTGGAATGGCATTTAGATGTGTGTTGATGAAGATAGCAAGATGGACGAAACGGACTAGGGTAGCTGTGTGCGGTTGTAGATGCTTGGTCCCAGAAGACGCTGTGGTGGTTTCATATCTACAGAATGAAGAACATCATTGGTATCGTAATCGATCTGTATAATATGATAGATAGCTTCTTAACAAGAAGAATTCTGCTAAATCGATACTCTGGTTTTGGGCTCATGGTGTGCGTAGAAATTATACAGGCGGAGGGATGACTGCATTGACGAGATTGCTATATTAGCTCACTTACTATTCAAAGAGTTACTCAACGTGATGTATGCATATCGTCGAAAGAAGAATTAACTCAAGGGAAGAGAAAGCAGATACAATCTCTCGCTAAAAATAACCAGAATCCTGTTGCCTTTAGAGTCACAAGCAGTGACATGGGTGGCATGATATCACGTGATAATGGCTAAAGTAAATGCTCAACACTTCAACCTCTTCCATAAGCATTAGTTGTTCACCAAATCTACAACAATCTCTCGAGTCTCTGTTGACTTCTTCCACCAGATTATAGATAGATGTCATTAGCGAGACTGTAAGTAGAGGAAGCTGTACCTCCACCATAGCATTACATTCCCAATCCCTTAAACCGAGTCATCAACGGTCTACCACACCACAAAGTCTACAATTGCAAAATACCCAAAATGTCCAAACCACCCACACTACTCACCCTCCCCGTAGAGATCCGACACAAAATCCTCCACCATGCTCTTTGTAACCATAGACTTGTCCGAGCCTCCAACCGAATCAGCGGATCCAAGCTCCTTGGCGTCGAGGGTCCCGACGGACAAATGCTTCCCCCGGATAAACGCGAATACTTCTACGGCACCGAACTCATGAGCTCCATGTTTGTCGTTTGTCGTCTCATGCATGCTGAGCTTGAAGAAATTATGTTTACACGCTTTGTTTTTCACGTGCGTTTATCTTCCGCGCGCGAATTCGTGGATACGATTAGTCCCTACGCGCGTACGTTGATACGGGAAATGGATGTGGTTGTTACTTTTGATCTTAGTCGTGATGAGATTCCGACACAGGAGGGTATGAGTTATTTGAACGAAAAGCTTCCGCTGTTGAGAAAAGTGGATGTGACGGTTGAATTTGTGAGGGCTCCATTTCGTGGTCGTTTAGAGAAGAGCAGGATCAACGCATTTGCAGATGGGGTTGTGGAGTTTGTTATGGGTTTTGCGGAGGGTATGAAGGTTGTGGTTACTTGGAGTGATTTTTGGTTGTGTAAGAAGCAGATCATGGATCTGTGTAGTGATAAGATGGAAGAGCTGGTGGTAAGTTCGAAAAGGGAGGGAGTTGATTATGATGTAAAAGTTTTGAAACTTCCAGAGACTAGATAACTGGATGATAATGACTTATGCTAAAGGTATCTTACAGATTAGTGTTTGCGATGTTAGCATTATGATAGTTAAACTTGTGAAGCTCGTGGGTGATGCCAGGTCGAGGTCCACACGTTTTAGATGCTCGATCAATAGTGATTTTGGTAAAAGGTTCCCGAAACATCTTTACATGGTGGACCATCTATGCTAGGGTCTCAAACTTATCATGACTGCCTATTCAAATGACAATATCTACGACGATACAAGCAACAAATGCAAAAGACTATAGTCACGTCAATCACACAATACCTCCCGTCTGGTGTATCGAAATCTTTGATCCCATTTTACGCGCCCAAACTTATATGATTTATGTCATCACATTCTAATATACCTTAACATGTAACGGTCTCGATACGTTCTATCACACATCAACAACGAGATAATATGGTAGAAAAAACTAACTTAACATAACCGTCATCCCAAGCCCCTATTCCACGCCCATTCTATGAATCCCAATATTTTACTCGTCCATTCTTTTCCGAACACTCTAGGAAAAGCACTGCAGAAACAGGACAAACAAACTATCTAGGAGAATAAAAAGAGCGAGAAAACTTGGACTTCAACTTGTGACAAAATTAGCTGTCCTGCATATTTACAGTATACCCAACTACTAACATCCTCTCTATATCTCTTCTTCCTACTACAGTGACTTCATCCAACATCAACATCCTACCATTCAGAACTATTCTCATCCCTCCTCTCATCAAACCCAACAATCTCAATCCCGATCCCAATCTCCCCTTTTCTCCAATTTCCCCATCCACAAAGAGATATTGACCACCTATCAAGCTCCAAACAGTACAAACCACCCACACCCCAACCATCTTCCATTCTGCACACTATCCACATATACATCTCCCAAATTCGCATCTCTCGTTTCAATTTGACTATTAACCACTGTCTTCCCCCCCTCTGAATAAACGCGAGATGAGATATCCCACCACCCCTCACAAATTTCGCAAAAAACAATAATCCACGCTCACCCAACGGATCTCCTTCCGCCTTACAAAAAGACGTATGTGTCACGGTACACTATATCCTGAGATACAAACATGGAAGATTCTCAACAAATCACATCACCAAACAAAGGAGGGTCATGAATGAAAGATATATACCTATACCCATACCCATACCCAAGCAACCAATGATCAAAACACGTATATTTTCCAATCCCAAACCTCCCCAATCTCAACTTCCAGCCCTCAACTCCCAGCCCAATTAATCAATCAATCATCCCATATCTCCAACAGAAAATCTTCTTACGATATCTAAATTAAACCGCTAATATATCTCCACTTCCACCTCCACCTCTATATCCACCTCTCACTAACTACCTCTACATCAACCTCTACCTCAAAATCCCAATACCACTCTCATCCCACAAAACCTATCTACAAATTCCATCCATCCATCCATCCACCTATCTAACCCTCCCTCCCTCCCTCTCTCCCTCCCTCCCTCTCTTAGTACAATATAGCATACCACACCGCACTTCTGCAAGAGAACTAAGTGATAAGTAAATCAGTGACAAGTAAATTAGTAACGAGTAAATCAACAACAAGCAATCAAGTAACGAGTAAATCAGTAATGAGTAAATCACTGGCGGGTCACCAATCAACCAACCAACCAACCAATCCATCCTGAAGTTTTCAAGTATCAATGATGAGATATCTCAACTCCCGGTCCCGTTTGTCTCTCTCAAGTCAATCACATACTCACGTGCTCACATACTCACTCACTCCCTCACTCAATCAAGTGATTGAAGTGACATAAATCTCTAGTAGCGATATTGATCTCGATATTAAGAATACGTCAAGAATTCTCGAGGTAGCTAGAAGAAAAGATATCCAAGGTAGGTGCAGTCATGGGAGAGAAACAGAAACGAGCGAGGGAGGGGGGAGAAGCGAATGAGAGAGGAGGGAAATGGTATTAGTATATCAAAATATAATAATCATGAGACTACAATTCATTTTTTCAACTAATCTCACCTAAAACAAATAAGCGAATCAAGCATTATTAACCCATAAATGGAGATATATATACAATGTAATAGAATAAGCAAACGATCAATCGCCATTGGTGATTACCTTATATCACACCAAACAAATAAAAAATGTCAAAAAAGTATTCAAAGCATAACAATCATTCATTTTTTCCTCATTGTCTAAACTAATTACACACAACCTTCTCAACTCTAAGCCTTGCGAAGATGTGGAGGAACCCATTTACCACCAGCAGCAGTTTTGGGCGCAGGCGCAGGAGTAGGGGCAGGAGCTGGAGCTGGAGCATCACTACTCTTTTCCTCGCTTCTGCTTGGTGGACTTGGACCACTAGCTGCTCCCTTGGCTGCTTCTCTTTCTCTCCAGGTGGATTTACCACCGGCAAGAGCAAGAGGTGCACGTCTCTCTCCAGTTGATGATCCAGTGCGTTCTGAGGTTGGTGCTGGACGAGGAGCTCTTTCGGTAGATGGTGCTGGGCGAGGGGCAGCAGGTGCAGAATCGGAAGGAACCTCCTTTCCTTCGGCACGAAGTCTCTCCTTTTCTCTCCAGCCCAACTTAGCACCAGTGAGAGCAAGAGGAGCACGTCTTTCACCAGTTGAATCTGATCTCTCGATAGGAGCGCCACGAACAGGCCCTCTTGCCTTTTCTTCAGCTCTTCTGTTTGCAGCTTCCTCAGCTCGTCGCTCTTGTAACGCAGCCATCTCCAAGGCCTCTTGTCTCTCCTTCTCACGGATTGCCTTGAGCTCAGCGAACTCAGCCTTTCTCTTCTCTTCTCTCTCGTCCTTCTCAGCCTTCTCCCTTTGAGCACGTTCTTCTTCTTCCCGAAGCTTTCTCTCTTGTTCTTCACGCTCTCTCTTTTCACGAATCTTGCGTTCCTTGAACTCCTTTCTACGTTGAGAAATTTGTTTCTCGAGTTCCTTCTCGGCATCACGACGACGTTTATCAAACTCTTCGTGTCTGCGCTCGGCAATATCATCACGGAAAGACTCGTAGTGAGAAACCAGTCTTGCCAATCTGTGCTTGAGAGCAACATTTTCCTTGTGTTTAGCTTCAGCATCCTTCAAGGTTTGAGCCTTAGTCTTCTCATAGGCGGCCAAATCCCGTTGTCTTTGTGCTTCATAGTCTTCTGGCAACTTCTTGGCTTCTTCCTTTCTGAAAGCTCTCTCGAGATGATCAATACGTTTACCGGTAATTCTTAACTTTTCGTTTGTATCATTCTTCTCACGCTCGAGTTGAGCCAACTTCATAGCACGAAGTTTGTTGCCGTCAAGGTTGTCCAAATCATCAAGATCGATGTCAAGAGCCTTGTTGCCAATCTTGAGGTCATCGATTTGCTTTTGGAGTTCTGCTTTTCTGACACGCTCCAATTCGGCCTTGATACGATCATCCTCACGCTTCTTTTGTTCGGCTTGAAGACGCTTGTCCTCGGCTTCTTGGAGTTGTGCAGCCTTGATACGTTTTCTTGTGGCTTCTTCCTTCTCTTTGCGAGATTGAATTTCGGATGCTTCCTCCTTTCTCCTTTGGATGGTTTCTTTGCGCTTCAAGGTCTCCTTGTGCTCTTCATCTGCACCAGCCTTAGCTCTTGCGTATGCTTCATCACGAGCCTTGATTCTTGCTTCATTGAAAGTAGGATCAACATATTGAGCAGTGATATACAAAGCCTTAGAAAGACGTGTAAGTTGAGTTCGTACAATTTCGGAAGGAGTGTTTTGGAGTCTTTGAACAGAGGCAGTTTCGGACTCAGCAGATCCTGCTCCAGATCCAGCGTGGATTGCCTTGGTAGATGAGAAAACATCAGTGTCGAAGCTAAGAACACCAGTAGCGTGATCCATTCTGATAGCGAGATCACCCTTCTTGTTACCGTTCATGATGAACTTCTCAATTGTTTCTCTAGAGACTTGGAATGGCTCTGGGAATTTGGCGAGGTTCTCGACGAAGTTAAGATCAACAGTCTCGTAGACTTGAGAAAGTTGTTGGAAGAGTCTGGTCAAGATGACCTGTTGAAGAGGAAGAACATATTTCTCCATCTCGGCATCAGCGCCAATTTGAGACAGAATTGGGGAGATCTTCTGGCAAATCGAAAGAGGATGAAAGTCAACTTCGAGAATGTTGTAAAGCTCACGAATCTCAGGGCGGGCACGCTTGAGAAGACCCTTGCTCATGGCGTCCTTGAAAAGAACGGCACGAGTAGGAGCTTGAGCCATACCAAGAAGATGAGTAAGACGAGAGTTCTTGTTCTTCTTTTGCTCATCAATGTCAACCAAAGCACCACGAGATCTGGATGTGCTGATCACAGGGATGGCGAGAGCGGACAAGAGAACGAAGGAAGCAGCCTTGGAGAGGTCAGCCTCAGAGGTTGCTGGGTTGTCCGACTTCTTGCTTTGACCGGCTGCAACCATCTGAGCGGATTGACGGAGAAGGTTATAGTATCTTGACCATGCAGCAGCATGGAAGAGATAGTTCTCACCAACCAAGAAGATTCTGGTCAACTTCTCATAGTAGTTGGCCATCATAACATTCTTAGGTGGTCTCTTGCTCAGGCTGAGCAAGGTGTGAATATCCTCAACACTTCTGAAAGCCTCTTGCCACAACTCAAGCTCAACTGCCACATTCAATTGTTGAAAACGGGTCTCGAGATGACGTTGAAGGGTATCAGGGTCGTTAAGGTTGATGGCATGCATTTGAGCAGAGTACTTGGCAGCAGTTTGAACATGGTTTCTGAGCAATTCGCACAATCGACGGAACTCGGTCTTTCTGGTGTATTTTTGGCAGAACTCGAATGCTTGCATAGCAGTGCTTTGGTACATGATTTCCAATCTGGCATTGTTTCGGAGGATATCGAGAACAGTTCTGTATGTCTCCCACAAAAACTTCAACCATGGTGTAACAATGGCGCGATCTGTGCGATCTCTGGATTGTTCCCCAGATACTGTTGACAAAAGGATAGACTCTGGGGTTTCGGTAGCTTCCAAATCATCGACACTTGCGGTTGCTGCGGTTGTATCTAATGACGATTGAACCTCATCGGCCTTTGCTTGCGCAGTCTTTACTTTCTCTTCGGCCAACTCGATGAACTTCTTGAGAACGAGCTAAATCAAATACATTAGCACCGCACATGTAATCAATACTACCACCACTTACCTCGATTGTGCCAATGTTGGTGTTTTGACTGATGTTCTTGTATTGGTATAAAGCGTCCTTTGCGAGTTTTCCTTTCTTTTGTTCAACGGATTGTTCCACCAACAATAGCATCACAGGCTCTAACGAGGTAATGGGGGCATTTCTCGATCTTTTCGAAGTAACATGTTCGTGAAGTAAGACCAAAGCTGCTTGAGCTTGTCCGACACCCATCAACTCATGGGCGCGCTTGAGGACATTCTCGGGTTTTTGATGAGGTGGAGGAGGCATGCTGGGCAGCACTCTAGTGGTGTTCGTAGGGTGTTGCGATAATCCGGCTGAATATTTTCAAAGATAATATATTTATCTTTGAAAACAGAAAAAACGAAGCGGTTCCTGCCAGATAGTATTGTCCAGGGCTGGGTAGGTACTCCGACTTGATGGATATCGAAGTGGGTTGAGGTTTCGTTAACAAATTCACGATAGCGATAATTTCATACAAGAGTTCATTCGTGTGCGGAAAGCTAAACTAAAAATGGTTAAAGCTTTGTTTTTTTAAGGCAACAACCGACTTTGAAAGAAATATTTTGGCGGTGAAAGATGGCATAAAAGGCAGGAGGGGTGAGTTGAGTATCAAAACAAGCTGAAGACAAATAATAATAAATACACCAAGACACAAAGGTCAATACGACTTTTCGAGTGTTGGTTTGCGCCTATACATGAAGAGCAGTCGACTGTTCATTTTCGATAATCCTAGGAAATTGAAGAGTATCATTCACTTGATCGATATTCGACTTCGCCCCCTCATTCCCTCGAGTATCAAAACACGCTCTAAAATAAACTACATAGACAAACACATCCAACTATTCTGAGAAAACTTCTTGCCTTCCAAATCATCAAACGATCTCCTAGGGCTGTATATGTACCTCGAATAGGTAGAATCTTTGAATTCGACACCCTATAATCCATGTCAAGCTCGTTCAACAAATATCTTGGGTGATAATAAATATTAGATGTCCCAAATATGTATTCATTTTCAGATTCATTGTTGTGTATGAATCGAGTAGATGAATTTCATGAATGTCCTTTGAATTAGCATAGAATTCCATAGTTCAATCAAATTTTAGGATCTGATGTATCATTAGGGATAGATGACCTAGATTTCATTCCCTAGGCTCTGGTAAACTTGGCATACGGTCCCGTCAGATCTCATATCAAGGATGCAAGCCCAGATAGGTCTTTTATCTAACCATTCCAATCCAACAGAGTATTCTGCAGCATGAACTGCATCATAATCTCTCTCAATCCTCTCCCAAACCCTAAATTTAAAATCCACCACACTCCTCATCTCCAGGTCTGCATACCCCAAATCCTCCCTCTCCTTCCAATCCCGTGATTACAATTTTACCTCTCTCATTTAGAATTACTTTCTCTTCTTCTTGCTTCTTCTCCTTTACCTCTTCTGGCTTAGCTTCATTCAGCTGGAGAGCAGATACGGGGCTGGAAGCTGAGGGTTGAGATATGGTGTTAACTGGGGTTGAGGTAGATGCTTTGATAGCTGTTGGTGCGGAATCTTTCTGTGCTGAAGATTGGAGCTGGTTGTTAGGTGCTGAGTTAGAGGCAGAAGCAGTGGCTGTTGTTGTTGCTGGGACTGTTAGTCTTGGTGGGGATATGGCCAAATGGAAGTGAGGACGGAGAAATAAGAGAAAAATGATGGTATAGAAAGCTGAGGCAGAAAACTTACATTTCTTTCCATCAACATGGCCCAGATCTCTTGACGGATCAATGATATTCCTGAGTCTCTTTTTCAATTCTTTTGTTTCTAATTTTGTATTGTAATTAGTAACCTTTCTTGCCCAGTCATGGATTCTCAGATTCATCAAAGATCGCGTTCAAAAATCCCAATCTCCATCCCTACCCAAACTCACCCTCTGTTCAATATCTCTCGAGCGATAAAGAGACAAAAACGGAAAAGGAGTACAAACCAGGAAATCCTCCCTCACTTTTCCGATCCCAAAGAGTATGTTTCAATATCTTAACTTCCTTTACTTCATCCACGTTCTCTTCCGCTTCTCCTTCCTTTTGACTAGCAGCATTCTTACTCGCGTTCGCGTCTGTGAACAATTCAACAACAAATGTACCACCGGTACTAGGTTGAAGGGCGACTTCTCCGATATCTGTTCCGAAGGTTGAGAGGAGTTCTTGTGCGAACTATTCAGGGGTTGTTAGATTAGAGGTGTGATATTAGAGGTTTGGGAAGCAATGAGAACGAGAGGAAAGAGATAAATGGAGAGATTGATGACATGTTGAAAAAGACAGGAGTAAGAGTACGAAGGACCTCCTCCAACTCTCACTCATAGAGAATGAAATGCAGATCAGGGCCAGTGCATGTGACTACCAAATCGAAAGCCTTATGTATCTCAGCACCTAACTTTGAGTCCGCAATTCAATCGTCCAAGGTAATAGCAAGAATGACTTTACAGGATATAATTACATCGGGTAGACGGAAATACAATATCACTAACATGCTCGCCCTTTCTATCTCCATAGACAGATGAGAATTACTTATTCCATATCCCATCAAGGCATCAAGGCGCTGCCAGGATGAAAGCCCCGATTAAACGCCAGTAAAGACAGTCTAGTCGTCTTTCTCCTTCCATAATATTACATCACTTCATGATATCTTCCACAGCAGAAATACAGTATCGGGGAAGATGATCCCTGGAGGGTTTAATATCGATCAACAGAGTAACATGAATCCACTCGGAAGAGAAGGAAACCACCCATTGCCGCCACCCTATCCCATTCTACTCCAATGGTAGAGATATGTTGTAAATCCATCAAGCAGCTCGCAAGAGTTCTCTATTCGTTTGATCTCACCCATTCAACGCATCATCTGATCCTCTAGACTCCAAATATCAACTCCAAACCCTCCTCCCAAATGGAGCTCAGCTCATCTCCATCGTGCTAAAAAGACATCCCGCCTCTCAACAATTCCTCCACAAATGAGTGTTTCCTTCCCATCAACAATATTTTATACTCATTTCTCTCGCAAACATCTACTCAGATGCCTATCTACGTCCAACTGCACTTGCTTGAGACCCCACAACCAGCAGTATCATCCAACCACCCATCTCCATACAATAGACACACTCAACCATACATACCCTTACCCCCCCTTCTCCAAATGGCCACAGAAAACAAACAAGCCTCAGCAAAACACACACACCCTCCTCCCCTCCCCCAAAAACCACTCTCAAGAAAAACAAAACAAACAAACAAACAAACAAACAAATAAAGAAACGAAAAATCCACATACATAAGCCGCCCTCAACATCCATTTACACTGCGTGCAAAACTGAATCGACACCCGAGGAAGTTTAATCCCATGCACTTGACTCATCCCCTTCTCATTCTCATTCTCATTCCCCCTCAGTCTCTTTTCCTCTGCTGTTTCCCCTGTGGCAATCTTCATTTCATTGATTTTATCCATATTATCAATCTTATCCAAATCCCAATGCAAAACCTAGCCCAAATTCAAATTCGATACATGAATCCGATTTTCCACGAAAAGTATACAGTTACGACCCCGTATAAAATCTCAATCAATCCCTCGTAACCCTAAACCTAATCCTAACCCTACTTCTATTTCTAATCCAAATCGCGATTTATAATCATAATCACAATCACCCGTCAATCATAAATAAATAAATAAATAAATATACTTCGTACGAGTACCGATGCCGGTGCCGATATCAAATCTTCGTAATTATTATATTATACCGAGTGAATAAAAGCAGTGTATAATTTTCCACATATATTATAATAAATACCTACATCGTGCGAAAAGTTACCTAGGTAATTATCTACCCTACCCTACCTTTTGTACGAGCCAACCCAGACCGGTATCGTTTTAACTTTTTTTCTTCTTCTGTGGCCCGTCTTCCCCGGTGAATTTGAGTTACCTTACCTTGATTGATTGATTTGATTGATTGCCGGTGCTCGATCGATGATTCGATTTATTATGTTCAATTTGATGGATTTATTCATTCAAAATCTAATTCATAAATCTAGATCACCGAGGTCTTCTCTGTGATTTATTACATACCTACTTAGATATATGCCTACCACAGTCTACAAGACCACTCACTATCACTATTACTACTATTACCATTATTACTACTACTATTATTACTACTATTACTACTACTACCATTATCACTATTACTATTATTATTACTACCACTACTACTACTACTACTACTACCACTACCACTACCTAGCTATTCTTCCCCATCCCATCTCAATCCAATCAATCAATCAACCCAATCAATCCCATCGTTTCCATCCCCATCTGAAATCAAATCCCCCCCATTTAACATTCCATTCCCATTCCCATTTAGTTTCCCACCTCGGCGAAGACGTCTGTGCTAGACCTATCTACCTAGTTCAATACCCAATCCACTCCAATCCAATACCATACCATACCCAGTCATTACCTCTTCATAGCTATACCTGATCATAGATACCCACTATCCACCATCCATCCATCCATCCATCCATCCATCCATCCATCGTCCATATTCACATCCACATCCACATCCACATCCACCCACCCCAACAAGAAAAATAAAAATCCCAAAGTTTCTCTCTCCCTCGAATCTCCAATCCTGAATTAGAATTTCAAACTCCCAGAACCAAGGCACGCACGCAAGATAAGTAGGTACCATACCGTACTAGCCTCTCCAGACTCCAACCCACCCACCATACCAATCTACGCAAATACTACCAACCCAGGTAAGGATAAGCCAATAACTACCTAGGTACCAATACCAACATGGCTCAAGCTCCCACTTGACGCACGCACGCACGCACGCACGCAAGAGCCCGCTGGGTTCACCAGGAGAAGAAATAAGCAAAGAAAAGAAAAGAAAAGACAAAAAGCGAGGAGAAACAGGAACAAGAAACAAAATCAGAAACAGAAACAGGATAGAAATGGGTCATGCAGAACAGATAGATAGATGGGATGCATGTAGGTGAGTGGGTGAGTGGGTGCAGATAGATGCAGGTGCAGAGTGGATTGGGATCATTTTATTTACTTGGGATGGGGTATTACTTGACTTCATTGTGTTGATTTGTATGGAGTATACTGGTATACATATACTTTATTACACATATATCTAGAACTACCTACCTATATACTTTCATTCTCAAGTTTGCGCAGAGAGTGGGATGAGAATTATGAGACGATGGATTATGTACGTACATAGTTATAGTTTTGTACATACATACATACATACATACATACATACATACATACATACATACATACATACATACATACAAACCTAGGTATATTGAGATTCAAGATGTGCTAAGCTAAGAATCCTTCTCATCTCATCTATTTCTCCCTCCCTCTCTCTCTCTAGAAAAGAATGAAGAGTAGGTAGATATAGATATCTAAATACCCAACAACTTACAAGCAATTATAAATCACAGGGAAAAAAAAACAGAAGAAGAGGAAGACATACAAACAAACAAACAGACAGACAGACAGACATCTCTAGAATCTAGATATCTATCTAGTAACTAGGTATCTAGCTTACTTTCTTCAGCTATCTATCTACTCAACAAGTGTCATGTCATGTATGTATGTCCTTACTCTGAAGATCTCAATCTCTAATCACACTACATGCACCATATGCACCACATACATCCCATCAAACAAACCTCCAACCCTCCAACCCTCCAACCCTTCACTCCATCAATCCATCAAATCAATCAAATCCATCAACTGTCAAATACTCAACTACCTACCTAGTTTCTCTCCTCCAGTAAACCATCACCCATCCATCACAAACCATCAAGCATCAAAGACCAGACTCTAACAAAAGAAGCAAAATCAATAGTCTCTCTACCTATCTACCAGTACATTACATGACAAGATCAACAAGAGAATCTCTAACTTAGCTCTTAGGCACGTAGAGCAAGTAAATTCACAGCCAGCTTCTGTCATTCATTCATTCATTCATTCATTCATCCATTCAAGTTCTTTTCCTTTCCTTTCCTTTCCTTTCCTTTCCTTTCCTTTCCTTTCCTTTCAGCTGAAGACCAGACCAACTCAGACTCAGACAAACCAGACCAGACCAAAATCCCCATCTCCCATCTCCCATCTCCCAATAAATCAATCCCATTCAATTCTATTCCCTTCTATTCAAATGCTATAAAATACACACCTACCTACCTCCCTACCTACAACATACACCTATCCATACCTATCTGAACAATATAAACAACATAAAATAATATAAAATAACATAAAATAACATAAAATAATATAAAATAACATAAATAACGCTCAAACACTCAAACCCCCAAATTCCCCCCAAATTCCAATCTAAACCCATAAATCCAAATAAATAAATAAATTGGCCACGAAATTACGCCATCCACTTACCAATTCCACACTCATTCCACACCCATTCCATAATACACCCATTCCCCAGTATTGCTCCAATACACCAATTCCAATACACACCAATTCCAATCCCAATCCCAAGTCCACAATGCACCAAATACTCAATCCAAATATCAATCTCAAATATCAATCCCTCCCCAAGCACCCCCTCCCCTCAGATACCTAATAAGTAAGTAGGTAGGTAGGTTACACAAATTTCTGAGTAGAGGCCAGACTTATTATATATTGATTGTAACTACCGGGATGAAATCAAATTCACTCGGAGGGTTTCGAGTCTCGACTAATAACTGTTAAATATTACTTACTTATGGTAGGTAGATCAAATATTGAATATCAAATCTCAAATCTCAAAACATCAGATGATAGCAAATAAACAGCTATATAGTGGTACACATGTACATATATAATTCATATAACATAATCCTCACTCACTCACTCTCATTCAAAAGTCATCAGATGTGAAGATAGATAACTGCCAAATACAATATAATATCTCAAAAATGCATTAAAAACAAAAGTCTCTTCATTCGTATAAAAAAACAATACCATCTCAATGACTTTCCATTGAAATAATCCTATACACAAAGAAGTCCATATGAAGGTGCATACTATGTTTGTTGGTAGTCCTGGGGGAAAAAAGGTGCAACTACTACGAACAGAAACGAAAAAAAAATTATTACATGCTTCTTTTCCCATTTCCCCATTTCACTTCTTCATCTTCCTTCTTAATGACTTTATCCTGCCTTTCATTTTCATCAAGAAAAGTCTCAAACAATCGCACGCCTCAAGATACACGTCGTAGATACAATTGAATCGAGAGTAACCAGCTTGCTATCGTGCCCTGTCGATGATGAAAATGTACCTCCAATTGGTGAAATATGCTAATGCTTCTTCTGGTGTCCTCATAAGAAAAAAAAGCAGGCGTATAACGGAAAGGTTCGAGAAGAAACATTGGAATTTCTGGGAATAATGTCGAAGAAGGCTGAAAAGTGAATGATTTCCCCAATACGCCCCGTTAATAACGCCCTTTATTCTGGTCTGCTACCTCCCTCTCTCCCTCTGTATGGTGATGTACGTGATTTTTGTAAAAGGAAGGATCGATATCGAAAGTGGTGTATCTGAATGGATTTATGAATTGAGTGATTGATGAAATTATGATTGGTCATTGTCGGGTCGTTCGTATGCTTTCCATTTCGAATTATCTTGATGTATTCTTCCTTGTCTTACATCACCAAACAGCATCCACCACTTTGTTGCGGCGCATATGGATCATCCTTCTTATCAATGGTACCCCAAATTGATGGAACCATAAAATCTTTAGTTTGACTGGTATATTGAATAATACTAAATGGAGATCACGTATAAGTAACTTCACGAGTAGTCAAAAGGTGAAGGGGAGTAAATTTACCTCTTAGCAGCTTGGGAGACTGGGATCCTTTCGCGTTCTAAATCTTCTCGGAGTCGGTTGTTCAATTCAGTAAGACGTCTTAATTTGAGATCTGCCATTGATTGTTTATTCTTCTTAATTTGCGATGGGTCACCAACATCTCGAGATGAATAACCTTGAGGCATGATTAGAGGTGTAGGTGTAGATGGAGATGGAGGTAGTTGGGTTGGCGTGGTTGTGTGGTTGTGTGGTTGAGTCGAGGTGAGCTGGATCGGGAAATTAGTTCAATTCGTGTTGCGACAGACAGGATAAGGAGAAGTCGAAGCAAATAGGTTGAAACATACCAAAGAAGTGTATGGTCGTTAATTACAATTAGAGATTGAGTGTTATAATATCAGAAACAAATTGAATTGAACTGATTGTCGTTTGACGTGATTGTGATGTATTTGAAAGGAGTGGTATTGTTTGTGGTTTGGACTTTGGTGATGGTCTAAGGTCGAGAACGATGGGAGGGAAGTTTAATTTGGATTGCTGAAAAGAATCGGTACGTCGGTTCGCTATTTCCCGTTTAAGCCTTGAAAGATATGGATAGGTAGGTAAGAAGAAGAAGAAGAAGAAGTGATCAGACAAACAGATAAGGGTGAAATGAAGATGAAGGTAGAATATGAAGAAGTGAATATAGAAGAATAAGAATAATAATAAGAAGAGTAGTAGTAATAAAAAATTGATATGTGTATCGACAGGAAGGTTAATTATTGTTTGGTACTCTTTGGAGAATTTTTACCTTGGTAAGTTACAATTAATTACGGTACTCCTCTCTTATTAGTCAGTAGGGGAAAGAAAGGGACAAGACATTCGATGTGGCTTTTGCTTTTTTTTTATGTTTCTCTTCACTCTCTCACGTGATGTAAAGAAATCCCTGGCAATGTACGAGAAAAGCTATGAAGATCTTGGTACCTAGGTAGTAGGTATCACGGAAAAGCTCACTCTCAGGTCCTCACTCTTTTAACATCTAGCTATCTTTCCACCCTACCGCAATGCGGAGAATACCTACCATACCAAAGCTCAATCTTCTCTGGACGTTACCGAATGATTGATGAATTCTACCAAGTTTCACCCTCTCACCCTCGTAACTTCTAGCTATCCTTCACAACTTGACATTCAAAGGATCTAGATCTCTGCGTCCTCTTGCCATACATCAAACGACCAAATCTATTAATCTCTAATTTCTCCAAGCCTATAGCTTTCAATTACGGCATAGCCACAATTCACAATCTACAATTGACAAGCTACCAGCAAATCAATCATTCCACAAGAGATCTATAATACAATTATTAAGTTAAGAGTCTACTTCACGAACTTCAGACTGTCTAATCTCAAAGAAAAGGCCCACTCTTTCTTAACCGACAACTAGCTGTACTGTACAAAATCTACTCCGTATATCACAATACCAGCACAGAGTTTTCAGTATGTATTGATTGATTACGTTGACCTAGTATCTATTCTTCAAATTTCCTTTCGAAGTTTGACAATGTTCTTCAAATGTGCATAGCAAGCCGTTCTACAAAACAGATCTATCTATAGTCTATATATGTCAAACTTTCTATACCAAAATCCTACAACGATCCGATTTAACATCGTAATTGTTTCATCGAAATATGAATGCATGATAGATCACTGGCTCATATTATGGTCAGCGCGCAGTGACAGTTGGCTGGTATTATATACCTAGACGAGCTGATAAGGAATATAAACCACATAAAAGACCTCAAACTAAATACCAAGTATATATATATCTCCATCCCCATTTGAAAGATCCCGAAAGTTTAAAAGAATTTGCCCGGCTCTCTTTCTTCTCCATTGCAGTACCCTCTTCACCCATAACTACCCATCAGATCCATCCCCGCCAAACACCTCTCAATAAACCACAAAAGATCCCAGTGAACCCTCTAGATACAAACTCTCATCCAACTCAACGTCGAAATCTGCACCTCCCCCATCTTGGGTCGAATTGTTTGATTTAGAACTCGAACCGCCATGGTTCCCTGGAAACTTTAACTTGGACAGACTTTGGGGATGGTCCAAGCCCATCTTATTCTTTACATAACTATGGTCGGCCGACACAAGGCCTATCCGCGTGTAGAAGCCATTTGGTGACATCGCCCGCTCCTGAAGAAGTAATGCATGAAACCAATAATCCTCATGACCCGGTCCATCCAAGTTTGTCAAGATGGGAACGACTATCACCTTTTCTCTGCATTGGTCGAACGGCACATCCAGTTCTATAGTCAGAACTGTACCTTTATCGTTCCCGGCGAGGGAGTGAAGTCCAGGATTTCTCTGGTCGTTGACAAGTTTGTCACGTATTAGCAGTCCCCGCGCACGAAAATATCCATCCGAAATGGAACCAGTGTCATCGACGCCGGAAACGGGCGTCACTCGTACCTCATCGATCTCAATGTGATATTTGGTATTGGGACGGATGGAAGGAAGGATAACAACGCCATCAACCGAGGCCCAAGACCAAGTGGGTGCTCGATAGTCTTTTGGGCGAGAAGTGAAACAAACGCACCAGAGAAGTTGATCGGCAAACATAGATCTCCAAAGGCCTGCCATATAGACGTCATCTAAAACTGCCCGTGTGCACTTGGCCAGCGCACTGACTGCAGCTAGTTTGTCCGAATCTCTCGTTAGATGTGTTCCACTGTAAAGAGTAACCCACCGGCTCCATCTATCATAAGCAATGCCTTTCATGGTCTTCTGAGCCCCGTCTATCAAATGCTTCCTTTCATATAAATCAGAGCCCGAGAGTGGTCGGATCTTGAAATTCTCCTGCTCGCAAGCTTCTGGTAGCCCTGCTGGATATGTTTCGCAACTGGCTATCTCCCTGCATTCCCAGAGTAGTTCACTATCACGAAAATGGAGTGAACGAGGTGATAAGACACGTTCTTGCAAAACCCAACCTCGCACTAGCAGTGGTCCACTGTACAGTTTTTCTCTCCAGATTTTTTTGTTGAATAGATAGAATAGATCGTTCTTAGCATCTTCCCATCTTGACTGGATTGCTGGACATGTCTCCAACATCCTGGGGTCTCGAGGTCGAGAAAGACCCTCATGACTATTTTTCGAGACAGTAGCCATAATGTTCAGACTACTGCTGCCATAGACATCTTCCATCGAGACAGATTCAGCCTGCCAATCATCTTCAGAGTCCTGAATGATACAAAGTGAGTCTATCCATATGTAAGGAATGAACAACTTTCTAGCAACAAATATGGCCTCAATAAACGTCTTCGGGAGTCGCTCGAGAGAGATACCAGCCTTCAAACTTTCTAGATTCGAAATTGTAAGCTTTAAAATATCAGAGTTTCCCCAGCAATGACTCAGGGTTGAGTAATGTGAGTCCTGGACCACTTCTTCCTTTGTCAGAACAAGCCTGACATATTTTTCGCTTCCATCAATTCGAAGCAGTCTAGTTGGCATGAGGCACTTGGATACCAGTGAAGTGTTGCAAGTGGTATGCTTCAATAAGCATTCACGATACCACTTCGAGGCTTGTGACAGTGCAGCATCTGACATTGTAGTATCGCCTGCGATCGACGCATGATTTGTGTCTGGCCCTCCATACTCTAGATTGAAGAATAAGTATGGCTGGATGGCAAGATCTATAACTTTGACCTACTTTCGTGTGACATTACGGTGAATTCATGATAATTGTCTCCAAAAAGAAACTGAAGGCACCAACATCGTTGGTCAGATGCGTGATTTAACTTCCACGTTGAAGGTGTAATCAAAGGAGACGCTCCTGCGATTGCAGCCTTATAATCTGTCTTATTGCTGAAAGATGCCAGCAGTCGATAACAAATCCAACATCCAGAGGCCGAAGCATCAATAATTGATTGCAAAGAAGAATGATGAGGATTAGTTTTCCAGAGGCGAACTGAATTACTCAACATTTGACGGCCACAAAATATCTTCTCGCATGCTTCGCAAAGCATCTTAATTCTGTCTTCAATACTGCAAACCACGCAAATACACAAAGGAGGCGATGAAAAGTCATTATGTTAACTTTACATCCATCAGCGCAGCTGATTTGCGCAGCAAGGCCAACTCATCAATACCTAGTAAATAGAAGACGTAATCTTATACATCTATTTGATTGGCCCAGAATTATCCAGCCAATCATGAATTATGACCCTGGCGGTTAATATTGTATAAAATAGAAAAACACACAGTGAGGCTCAAGTTGAATACTCATCCAACTAGACATTGGATGAACCAATTGCTCAACAAAACAACAATGACGACGGCAGTGCATTCGTGTGGACACGCACCCATATCCATCCATAAAACATGTGTGCAATCTTTGCGACCCATGTTTACCTAGGATATCTATATCAGTTTCGCTATCCATAGGCTCCTGGGTGTAAAAATCAAGTAGTATGCTTTATGGTGATCCAGCTCCGAGAATAACGTACCATAGAAACCCAAACATATGAACCAATTGAAAATAATGCAAGGTAAGCCATCAAAGAACACAACGACGCATCTTCACTCCATCACAAACAGCGCTGCATCTATCAACTCAACAAACTCTCTCTCACACAATATCAGCATCGTAAGTCTCGGACAAATCCTGAGTTTGAGTTTGAGAAGTGAAGTACTCTCATCCTCTTGGTCTTAAAAGCTTGGACCATAATCATACCACTTCGCCGAACTTAACTTCCCTTTTCAAGAATCAAAAGTCTTAGTGAATCTACCTGTCAATATCTTCAATAAACGATTTTAATGAAACATGGAAGAGCTTACCATTTACAACTCTTCTATATTTTTTTAACGCTTCAGACATTTTCCTATACTGTCATTCAATCTCGAAATAACATAACTTCAAAGAGTCTTCAATTTGGCGAGTTTAGTGCTGCCGGTTTCTCATTCATCCAGGATCGGAACTTATTGGAATAGTCAACTTACCAAATCAAACTTCACTCTAGACGTCTCGAGCTCTCAGGATCTTTTCTTGAACGTGGGTTTGATAATACAAGCCCAACTATCAACTCACAGTCTTTATTCAATTCCCGATTCCAGTTAGGGCCTAAGTGAGGAAGTGGATATGAAGAGAAAAGCCTAGTGGTAAATGCAATCTTAAGATCGAAGCTCTCGAGAACTAGATTGAGATATATACACAGACATCAATAATTGGAAGTAAATGGGTTACATGCATGTGTGCTGGGAATGAAATCTTAAGGAAGATACATGTATTAATCAGTATCTGGACAGGAGGTAGAATGGGAAGATTAACATTGAGGATACACTTATACTACATGTGAGTTAAAATACATATTCTCGCCCTCACAACCCAAAAAACCCGACCTCATCATTCTCACCCAGCAACAAGTCCTGGTACATCACCCTATTTGATACACTCACAATACACCCTTCCATTGCATCTCCACTTTTCCTTTCCATCCCCTAACATTTCGCGCTCAACTAAACATGACATACAATATCCTAATACTTCAAAAACTCGACACGCCTCAACCTTCACCTTTTTGGTATCCGCGAGGATTTTATCGCAGGTGTCTTTGATAGTGCTTTTGTGATATAACTGCAGGAGTTGGAGTTGATGTAGGAGAGGAGTCGTGGGTGTAGTTGCCGAAACTGGGGAGGTGGATCATGTAGGTGTATGTTGGGATGGTTCAAGAGCCGTAGCCAGTGGGGATTTTGGCGCTGTGGTAGGTGTAGCAGGTGTAGTAGGCTTGGGCGATTTATTTATTGGAGCGGGTGAGGATAGTAGTGGGGAGGAGAATGAAGATTCTGGTGGGTTGATTGGTATAGATGTTGGATGTTGAGAGTTTGGAGTCGGGGAATCAGGTTATGATGTGACGAAATTAGATCAAGGAAGAGAATGAAAATGAGATAATGTGACTGAGATGAATTTCTCGGTGGTTAAGCACTTGACAATAACGATGGCAATGACGAAGGAAATGAATGAATGAATGAATGTATGTGTATATATTCATATTTATACGAAAATACGGATAAATGGATAACGAAACAACAACACATCCAATCCAGTCCACTCCGATCTTCCCAATCCAGCCTTAATCCTTTCATATCAAAAGCTCACTCCAACCCCAACCCACAAACTCCAAACTCACAAACTCACAAACTCACAAACTCCAAACCTCAAAATAAGACAATTCATAAAAATCAAATACCTAGGTAGCTAGCTCGCTAGCTCGCTAGTCATGAGCTCTAAATTATAAGATCAAAGTATAGCAAAAGCAAGTAAAAGCAAAAGTAAAAGCAAAGAATGGATATAAATAAAGTGAGAAAGATAAAGTGAGAAAGAAAGAGAGGGAGGGAGAGAGAAAGAAAGAGAAATAGGAAACATCTAAATTATTTTCAGAATTATCATAATCATAAATATAACTATAAACATAATCATATACACAATCATAGAAAATTTCAATTCCAGTCAAAGCTTCAACGCGGAACTTTCAAGACGAAAACTTTTAAAGAATCAAAATCAGACCAGACCAAGTAAAATCAAGTTACTGTCAAAACTCACAACTAGAGAGGAAAACGATGATGTGATGAAGGTATATAACATATATTGTCATATTCGGTATTCATGAGGATATTCAATTGAATCTCTAAACACTCCGTACCTATTTTCCATTCCCCTCAACCTCCCCCCTCCCCCTTCCTCTCGCTCTCCTCAACTCCCACTCCAAGAATACCAAAAAGAAAAATCTCCAAAATCCCAAGTCTAATCCATTTCCCAATCAATTTCCTTCCCATCCCATCCCATCCCAAAAACCAAACCCATCACCATGTCACATCGCACATCCCCCCCTCCCAAATTTCCAAACCACATTCCCAAGGAACCCAATCAATAATTCCAAATCCATCCATCCGTGGCGCACAAATCTTCATTCCTCCCTCCACCAATCCATACCCGCAATCCGTTCATCTCAAGTTAGTACCAACCCGCGTTCATAATCTTTTTCTTCCTCTCGTCTCAAAAAGGAAAGAGTAACTGAAACCCTCTCATCACTTAGGAGAAATATAAACTCTCCTTCCGTCACTCCTTCATTCTTTGATGTTTTCGTTATTTAGGCAAGCTCTATCCAGCTGGTAATATTATTGATAAGTAAATGTTTATGTATTATAATGACTTCGAGAAATGATGATCTGAATTTCAATAGATCATCTCAACTTTGATGTATAGCAAGAATTTGAATTTTGCTTTCTCCTTTACTTCTCAGTTACTTCCAGATGACAATGCCTTTTCCTAAGAAACTGATTCCATTTGCTTCGTTACTAACCGCGACATTTTTGCTTTTACTCGTTAAGTCATTTCTCAGCACTCGATGGGAACCGATTGAATTAGGGGCTGGTCAATGGCACAATGATATACAACTATATGGTGCGAAATGGAGGACGATGCAAGAAACACAAAAACCAATATCCTTTCGTCCAGGGATTGTGAAACCATTCCCTGCAACATATTCGAAAATGCTCGTTATCTCCAGTACGAAAGAAGAAGATGTGAATTGGATAAAAGAGAATTTCGAAAATGACACTAGCATCCAATCAACCATATATACAGCGAACGATCCGAAAGCCGAATATCATCCACCGAAGAATAAAGGTCATGAGGTTATGATATACCTGTCGTATATAATTGAGAACTATAACAATCTTTCGGACGTTAACGTATTCATGCATTCTCATCAAATGGCATGGCATAACAATGACCTTTTCGACCTCGATGCGGTTCAGATGATATCGAGACTCTCTTCCGAACGTGTTACACGAGAAGGATATATGAATCTACGGTGTCATTGGCATCCAGGATGTCCGGATTGGATGCATCCAGGAATAGTGGAGGAAGATGATGACAAACAAGAGCAGACTATTATGGCAAGAGCATGGCTGGAACTTTTCCCACTTGAACCTGTCCCAAAAGTGCTCGCACAGCCTTGTTGCGCACAATTTGCCGTTTCGAAAGAGAGGATTCGAACTCTACCACTGGCAAGATACATTTCCTATCGAGATTGGTTGTTGAGGACAGAGATGTCGGATTATATAAGTGGTCGAGTGTGGGAATATATATGGCAATTTGTTTTTGCAGGACAAACGACTTTATGCCCGAAAGAACACATTTGCTATTGTGATGGGTATGGTATTTGCTTTGGAGGAGAATTGGAATACCAAGCTTATTGGGAGAATCAAACCGAAAAGGACAGTTTGAGTATTCAACTTGAGGACTGGAATATACGGAACGGAGAGATGCAGAATTTGATAGACGAAGGAAGAGGAGATGAGATAGAGAATTCTGAGAAACCGGACTCTGCAATCAAAGAGAAGCTAGAGAGGGAGATTGATGAAATCCAACGCTGGCTAGAGATCAGCAAAGAAGAAGCAATGAAACGTGGGGATGTGGCTCTTAATCGAGCGATAGAAGCTGGTAGAGGATGGAAAGAAGGAGATGGTTTTTGATGAGTCGGGTGGATCCATCAATTAATTGTGTCATTGTGTCTTCTCCCACTGAAGGTTCCATCCGACCATAATTTTACTCAACAGACGAAGCATGAGATTATCTCAATTGATGATCACGGTATCTGTTCATGAATCTCTTGGGGAACAGTTACTTTCAACTTGAGGCGACACACCAGAAACAAGGAATGACCTGGTTTGAGAGAGAAAGATCGACGACTCAACGTCTGGCACTTGAAGTTCACTACCGTAATCCTATATATGGATGATTAGTGTGCCGGCTCTTAGCCCAAAAAATATCTTTGCGATCACTCATTAAGGTTACATCAGAGTTTAGCCTCATGTCCCCTGAGAGATCCCGCACACTGCCACAGGAACGTGGAGCACATGTCGATCACGTGTAGGGTTCATGGTCATTGAGTCCTTGCGTCCTTGACGGATTTTGGCATATTTTCTGGGTTTTGTATGATGTACCGATGAAACTATGCCATATCTGGTGTGTAGAGATGGTTGAAATGATGGATTGTCCGATGAGATGGGGGAAGAATAGGGATACCTATTGAATGATTTGATTACCTGTGGAATGATTTGATTTTCAGCTTGATTTGGAAATTGGAAATGGTAGAGGTTCAAGTGTAACCTTGAATGATGATAGCAGATCAAATATTGGACGGGAAGAGAGCAATATGTAATATAAAGTGGATGGGGGAAGGGGTGGGATGAGATGGATACGAATGATGGATCATGGTTCTCTGCAACTTTTCAATACTTGGGTGATGGATATTGATACCACCATAGCAATAGCAGATCTCAATAGATAAACCATTGCGAGTTGGTGGATTAATACGGGAAATACTTTGTTACGGTCTCTGAACATTTGGACAATGATAGTCTTTCTGATGAGTATCATCTGTATTATTGTGTGTATCGTTCCAAGGTAAGTGGGATCTGTATGAATGACTACTACGGTAGGTAGTGTACATTGTGTGTAGATGGATATTCTCCGAAATGATGTTTTCCAAGGTCTCATACCAGTAGATGATGATGATGATGATGATGATGATGATGATGATGATGATGATGACGATGAAAGATATTGATAATCGATGATGTTGATGATAGTTGGTAGATGATGTCAATACATTGATGTTGATTCTTCAGATGAAGTTATTCCAAATCTTCCCAGGGTTTACATGGACAATCCACCAGGTATTAGGTCGCCTACTAGGTACTTAATAAGGAGGTACACTCGCTCGTACATTCAATAGGATTAAATCCCACCAGCCCCACCAGCCCCACTATAAGTTCTTACCCACCTGAGCTACCCTCCACCCTCGCACCCTCGCACCAGACGAAGATCGGCCATTCGAAGATCCGACCCATCGATAGATATCGTTTCCGCCTTGACTCGTTTGCTCGTCTCCGCGCGTTCACATCTTTGCTTCTTCCACTTCTTCGGCGCCTTTTTCTTCGATTCGACATACAATTTTACGATCTCGTCTGGTGAATGGTCCAAGTGACGATGGCTCAAAGATCGGTCACCTTTTGCTCTCATCGTAAGCGAACCGTGTTGTCAGTAACAAGTTAGACTGGCGCGACGGGATTTGATATCTGATAGATTAGATCAGCTTGAGATCAGGTACACGATTAATCAAAGGGCCAGACCACTGAGTACTTACCAAGTAGTAATATGGCGCTGATGTACATCGTATCCGGAACCGTACAAACAGTGTGAAACAATTTACCGATAATGCGGTCTCGAGGAGAATAAGATAGGATGGTCAAGAGCGTGTCGATGATATTTTTGTCACGGACAGAGAGATGATCAGGTACCTTGTCTCGAGCGTATACTTCCCATGTCACTGTCACAATGACCGTTACACCGTTGGTGTTGTCTCAATTGTGGTGTACATACTATACTATATGTTATGTTGTATATATACTAGGTACGATGTACATGTGCGCATGTTACCAGAGTTCCAACGTTTACTAGTCACATTGTACTTATGTTGCACCTGCATTGCACCAACGTCTGTTTGTTTGTTTGTTTGTTGTAGATACATATAAGAGGGCGTGAGAGGCACAGCGTGGGAAGTTCATACCATTGGATGAGATGTCTTTTTGAAGTATCACTCATTGAGTATGTAGATGTAATCAAAGCGACAGTATTCCTTTTTTTTATGACTTGGTAATGACTTGGTAAGAGGTATATGACCACCTATGTACCTTACCTACCTATCATGATCAATTGGTTTCAACACGATAAGTTTTACGAGAAAGTCTTTCTTTTTGTACGATATTGAATACACTATGTACAATGAATGCAACGCAGAATGCAATGTGCAATGCAATTTACAATACCATGTGCAATACCATGTCTTCTCTTAAGAATGTGCTTTTCTCTTTTCTTTTTCCAAAGAACATTGGATGAACACTTCCAAGTTCTTTCACAAGGCAGGGACTCTCTCTTTCATCTGAAGTCTTGAAATCTAAATCGTCGTCGCCAAATCTGCCAAATCTGCCAAATCTGCCAAATGCATTTATTGGGATTGAATATCCCGCTAAGATCAATAGTCAAGACTCGAGACTCAAGACTCCAGAGCCACTGAATACGACTAGAACTAATGAGATGAGTAGTCTGAGCAGTGAGTGCCAATTACAATTACGATCGCTTCCTAGTACCTTCCCACCTCACCTGGGCTCCGGATCACGATTCACGTTTTGTTCTCTCTTGCCGGTTCCTCGCACAGTCAGTCGTACTCGATCGAATGAGGAAATTGATGGGTCAATGTCATTCATGGTCATGGTAGCTTCTTTACTCTTCAGCCCCAGATTACTAAGTTTCTCATCTGGGTAGGAAATTAGGAAGACGACCGACCGACCTAGGAACCGTGGACCTAGTAATTACCCCCTACTCACCTATCGGGGTAAACAGAGATTGATAGATCGGTACGCCACAACAACCTACTTACCTCCCTCCCCTACCTAATTTGGTATATTTTGCACACATTTACACCTCGAATGCTAATTGAACCAATAAGAAATCATACCATTAATTACTTTTTACGAACCTTAAAGTATCTCGACCTTTCACACCAAAAAGCAATTCTACCCAGGGTCACATTATATTAATGGAATGATACCGTCGTCGTCGGACGCACTCAACTTAGATTGGGGAATTAAACCTTTTTCTAATTTTTAATCTCTTCCCACTTTCCACTTTCCACTTTCCACTTTCCACTTTTTAAACTATTTCCATCGCCACAGGGATGATACCAGTTTCCCCCTCTTGATTCGTCAATTCCTCCATTTCGCCCAAGAAAATCATCCTAGACTCCCGATACTCCAAGGATTCGTCATGTCGACGAAATCAACAGGATTTGGAGAGCAATCACATTCACAACAAACCCTCCAAAGAAACGGTCGTGCGTATGGTCCTGGTGTGCGCACTATTATAGGTGTTGAACGTAGTAGTTCTGTCATTGGTGGGAACGGGAATGGATATGGCAATGGATTTGGAAATGGAAATAGAAATGGAAGCACGCCTCGTCTAAGGTCTCCTCCAATTCTCTCTTTGGTATGTCATAAAACTACTCGCATCTGTCTGTGCAATCCTCCTGTCTTTTTTTCTCTCTCTCGGTGGAATTCCAATTTTGTACATCTTTCATTTCTACCATTGGAATATATACACAGGTACATACATATCTTCATTATACTCAAATCGGAGGATATCTTCTTTGCTAGTTGCATAGATGTGGAAACACTTGAAGCAGAAGAGAAGGAACAGCCTTCAGGAAACATCCCATGTATGTCGACGATCATCATTAATTTTCTCCATCATTTACCAAGACTTGATTTACCCATCCCGCAATTTCACTCATTCTATACTATTGATTTTCATCGGAGAATTGATTCCTCTCTTGATGGATTCGTGTGAATTGTGGAAAAGAGAACTGCTTCAAAGCGTCACTTAATTTCACTTGTATTTATTTCTTGTCATTCGGCGCATTATCGTCCAGTCATTAATGTTCAATTGAGATTTGTGAAAAAGACGAGACGAGATATTTTTTTATGGCTGAACTGACATCACTCTTGCCACAATTAGTTTCCTCATCCTAATCAATCGACATCTATCGCGCCTACAGAAATGAACATTCAAAATTTAGCGGATCGTCGTACAGGAACCCTTACTTATGGAAAAAATCCCGGCTTTACGCTCCCCATCAAAATCGACGAAGCAAGTGCAGGAGAAGAAGAAGAAGGCGGTGCAGAAGTGAACGACATACCGTTTTACAAACCCTATAGAGCAGGTTTGGGAGCACCTCATTTGGGAGGACCATCACAAGCAAGTCGATCGAGAAGACATTCATTAGAGAGACCATTCGACCCTAGCACTCCGAGAAGGGGAACTGCCTCACCCACACCCAGCAAGTCGGCAAGGATTCTACAAGCTCAAGTTGATATTCCATTGCGGTCAAGGTAAGTTTTGAACGATTATCTACTGCTTTGACAAAGTCAGTTGACGTATCCTAGTAGTAGTCTTTACAACGAAGAACATCGCGAGTCTGGAGAACATCTACAAGAACATTTTGATATTCCAGAGAGTGTAGAAATTAGAGATTCAAAGCAAAGTATACTCTCTTCGCCACAATCATTATCCTCGCCTTCGACAATGCGTTCGCGTTCGCGTTCTCGAGGCGGTTCCGTGTCGTCATATCAAACAAATGCGACATCTCTACCAGCACTGCAAAAGACAGGAGTTCTAGAAGAGGGAGAATTGTTGGAACCATTGAATGAAGAAGATATTGATCCTGGATCTTTTGATCTTGTGGCGGCAACTGAGACTGGAGGCAAACGATATTCTCTGGAGACGAGATCAGAACAACTCTTTTCGACAGAGCATTTGCGGATAATTTTCAGTGACCCTTCGCTACTCTTAAGATTCACTTCTTTTCTAGGCGCACATAGACCTTCTTCAATTCCCATACTCATATATTACCTAGATGCTGTTAAAGCACTCAAGGCTATTTCATATTCAAATGCGATTGCGGAAGCTCTGGAACCAATTCCTGGTTTCGATTTTACCGCCACTGCAGCCTCCAAGACAATGAGCGCTGCGTTGGAAGAAAAGGCAACAAAGGCTTTCGATGTTTTGGTTCGAGAGGATCTTCCTGCTTACATTACATGGGCATATATACAGACCGTTAGTATATCGATTCAGAGGCGAATCACTGGAACTTTACCAGCGCATCTGAGAGAGGCATCTGAGGGCTTAGCTGAGGTCTTTTGTTTAACCGATCCTTCTCGTCCAGATAACCCTATTGTTTTTGCCTCTGAGGGTATGTTGCAACGAGCTAATTGGTAGAATTTGGCTAACTATACTTTAGAATTCCACCGAACCACACAGTATGGTATGAGCTATGTTCTTGGCAGGAATTGCAGGTTCTTGCAAGGGCCAAAAACAAATCCCTTCAGTGTGAGGAGAATTCGAGAGAAGATTGAAGCCGGTCAAGAACATTGCGAGACTTTCCTGAATTAGTAAGTTTTGTCTGAACACGCTTCGAGATGATGGCTAATCAGATAATAGTCGACGAGATGGATCTCCATTTATGAATCTTCTAATGTGTGCCCCACTGTGCGATAGTAGAGGCACGATTCGATATTTCATTGGTGCACAGGTCGATATTTCGGGTTTAGTTAAAGAATGCTCGGAACTAGAATCCCTTCAACGTCTTGTTGCGGCAGACGAGCTTGCCCAGGGGCGTGAAGCAGAACGAGCAGCAAATCCCGACGCAGAATTGGAGGAATACCCAGGACCACCACCGAAAGACGAGTTTCAAGAATTAAGCGAGATGTTGAACATGCAAGAGCTAGACACAGTACGCAAGTGGGGAGGAAGAATGCACAAAGAAACTGAGGAGGATCACCCCGACAACAGTTTTCAAAAAGGAAATTGGCATAAACCGAGATTACATATCAAGAGTACAAGCCCCGAGAATCTAAATCCACTTGGACGTATTAGTGGAAAACTCGGTGGTATATATGAAAATTATCTTCTTGTTCGTCCATACCCAAGTTTGAGGATTTTGTTTGCAAGTCCGACACTTAGGGTACCTGGCATCTTGCAATCGCCTTTCATGGCGAAAATAGGTGGTAGCAATCGTGTTCGTGAGGAGTTGACCCAAGCTCTAGCTGATGGACGAGGTGTCACTGCTAAAGTGCGTTGGGTAACAAAGGATGATATGGATGGTCGATCACGATGGATTCATTGTACACCACTTATGGGATCGAATGGTTCAATTGGTGTATGGATGATCGTTATCGTCGACGATGAAACTTCACAACACAACAGCAAGAGATATAGACTCGCCCCGTCTGTAGATCCACGATTTGGAAGAACTATACCATTTACGAGCAAGGCAGAGAGTAGTGCGGGAAGTATCAGGGATTTCTCTATTATCCAGCACAATGGATCTTCAGCACAACCAAGGACGCCAAGATCACACAAAAGTGTTGATCTTGATGATGAGGATAGTTTGAGGAGTGGTAGTCCGTATACTTTGAGGATTGATTAATTGATCCACCTGAAAACATCGAGATGGTCAGCGGATGATTTTTGGTATGGCCAACTCGTGTTTTGATTTTCTTTTGTCATGGAGGTTTAAAATATTGCTGTACTACTAGCTGGACAGCTTAGGCTGATGGGTGGGATGGGAGGTGGTTTTCTTCTTCAGATGATTGCGTTGCATTCTAGCGTGTTGTACTGCTTGTCGTACTGTTGTTATAAATTTGTGTTTAAGCGTACTGTATTAATTATACTGTCGGATTAGAAGTACCATGAAGACGAGAATTCTTGTTGGGGGAAGGGGGGTATGACACGTGGGATATGGAGAAAGAGATGAGTAGGAAATGGAAGGCAAAAGGAAGATGGCTGAGAGGAAGATAAACTTAATATTGCAGCGAGGGAGCTTGCATGATTGCTTGCAAAAGGAGGATGAATGACATTGGCAGTAACATCAGGTTGGAATTTTTGGCGCTTGACATGATGGTGCACTTATTGCTTTGGCTATGGCTAGAAAAATCGCTTGGCTAGATTGCTTGGGCTACCTATGTATAATATGATATCGTATGATGCCGACTCATTGTTAGGTGTCTCATTAGATTGAATTCCTCTAATACGAGTTATTCGAGACGCGAGCGTATCTGTTGTGATGTGATGTTACTTGTAAGTTTGAATTGAGTGGTGTGGTGTGTGTGTGATGTGTGTATAATGTGTGATGTGTATGAAGAAATGTAATGTAATATGATATGATATGTATGTAATGCAGTGTGATGTGTGTAATATCCCATATTTTGGACTGTGAACCGATCCGGAAGATTGAGATGTGGAGGGCAGGAAGCAGATAGATAGATAGGTAATAGGTAAGTGGATGGGAGGTAGGTAGATAGAATGGGTAGATGGTCAAAGTATGAAGATAGTCAAAGTATTATATACATGTATATACATATCTAGTATCGATATCTACCTACCTACCTACCTACCAACCCATCTGATCAAAATACACAAGAAATACACAAGTCGATACGCGAACACGCGAACACGTAAGAATCCAATCCAATCCGAATCCAATCCAATCCGAATCCAATCCAATCCAATCCGAATCCAATCCAATCCGAATCCAATCCAATCCGAATCCAATCCAAATCCAAATCCAAATCATTCGAGGGTGGGAATTTGAATCATTTGAAGTATATGAGGGAAGAGAAGCAACAGGAAACAGGAAGAGGAAAATGTTGATTTCATTTTAAAGTTAAGCGTGGAATTGGATTGGAATTGGAATTAGATTTGGATTCGAATGTAGAGAATGAAAAGAAAAGGAAAGTGAAAGTAAAAGACAAGAAAGATCAAAAGGGGAAAGAAAAGATATTTAAAAAACGAAGGGAAGAGGGAAGAGGGAAGAGAGGGAAGGGAAGGAGAGCAAAGTAAACATCATCTGACAAAAATTCCATATACACCATTTTGATGCTGTACAGATTCCATACAATTCTAAACCTTCCAATTCACATCATTCCCACCTAATAACTTCAAAATCAAAAATCAATCACAAAATCAAACTCCATATCCTCTGTAAAACACCCAAAATATCTATCCATGAACCATGTCCATAACCATAACCATAACGCTGATCCTATCTTATTCCATGCCATTCCATGTCATGCCATCCCGTATGTTGATCCCTCCCCCCTATCCTACCCTATCTCCCACCACCATCAAAATCAGACGCCCAAGGTATAATACAATGCATCATTTACACATTACCAATTCGGATTTTTGAAACCATACATATACCATCACTTGATAAATTTCGACCATGCGAAAGAGAAAGTAAGAAACCTTGGATCGTATCATGATCACTCTCCCTTTCCTACCCTTTTCTTTCAAAGAAAAGTTGGCCTCCACATAGTCCCATTCCGCGTTTAATTCGTCTGTGCCGATCCATGCCGTGCAATACTGAAACTCTTCGCTGAAGATGAAGCAGTCTGTTGATTTCAATCAACTTGGTAGAATGTAACGATGTCCTCATTCGATGAGTTCCATCCAAACCCCTCTCTCACCTAAACCCTTGGCCCCCCATTCCACCCCACTCACTCCCTGTTCCTTGTGCATCACCCCCTACATTATCAAAAATTCCGTCCAAATTCATCCCAGTACTATACACCATATTCTGAGGATTGAATCCTGTACCCCCTGCTCCACTGGTGTTCGTAGTTGCGTTTGTCCCGTGCATCATCCCACCCATGCCCCCTCCACCAACTCCTCCGTTTCCACCTCCAGGTACTGCCCCAGACATATCGAAACCGTGCTGAGCCTGCATCATATAAGGTGGTAACGGACCGAAAAGTTGTCCCTCCAAATCATCAAACATTCCATTTCCAGTCCCTGCTCCGCCACCCCCCATATACATTTGCTGCGCTCTGGTATTATCTATATCATTTTCCTGCTTCATAATTTGCGCATCGAATTCCATCATCGGTTGATTTGGATATGCAAAAGGATCTGTAGATGGGAACATCAATCCTGTAAGATATGGTATACTGTTATTGGCATTGAATTGGTTTTGTACACCATATTGTGGAATACTATGACTAGTCGAAGCTGTGCTTTCAGGAGTGCCAGCAGTGGACAAATCACTCGGTGATACGAGATCTTGAAACCCTTGTCGAAGATTTGGATTGGATGCTGTGTTCATGTGGAAGCGGTTGCTTAGATTTTGCATTGGAAGGCCACTGGTTTGGAGCGAGGTAGGGGTCTGAGGGAATGTCGTCGCGCGAGGTATTGGAGTGAAATGACTAGAATTTGGTCTTGGAATCTCGGGACTACTGTGGTGCGTCGGTTGAGTGGACGACGGTGCTGATCTCTTCTTCTTCGATGAAGCCGAAACGGAACGATTCTTTAACTTCTCTGGTAGTTGTTCAAACAGTGGCTAATTTGGGTTAGGTGAGTATTACATTGTGGAGTGGGGCACTAACCTTGAGAGTTTCAGAACATCTATCGGCAGCCATACTTCTCTGAGCAAGACCAATCAGAGCATCCTTTCCATCATTTGCGTCTGCCAAAATCTCTGCGGCTCCACTCTTATCGGGATTCTCAAGAACGTAGTATACCAAGGATATGACAGAAAAGAAGGTTGTGTACATGGTAAACCAATATGCCCCTACCAACAGACCTTGCTTCTTCATCTCTGCAGTAATATGAATGATATTGCGGGCTACACTGACACCAGCAGCTGCACATGCATATGATCGCTCATCAATGGTTTTCCCAGCACAGCTTTTTCCAGAGACATAATGAAGAAAGGGTCGATATAGCATCATTTGAACGTGCGCGTATGCTAGTCGTAGAAGTTGTTGTATACTATGTTGCCATTAGTAAATATTCATGACCACTCCAAGGTCTAGAACATTGGAGCAAATCTCGTATCCTGTATCAAAGTCTAGTGTCCTTGACTCACCGTGTTAATTCGGGTGGACCGTCACCTCCAGGACGTAGTCCCATAGGTAACATGTCCAGCCAATCTGCTAAATCCTTTTCAATTTCTCGAATTTTTGAGTGACTAATGGTATATGATGCTTTGCTGTTTCCTGAGATAGATTGTTCTAGACCCTTTATCGGATAGATGTGCTTAATAACCTTCGATGTAATACCCATAAGTCGAGTGTGAGCATTTGCAGCCACATACAATGACATCTTGCCAGGGGGCATAGGAAGTATCGCGTCCTTAGTTATGTATTCATCATCTACCTCAATTGGCATATCTTGGTCAATGTCATCGCTACTTAACATTATAGGAAATCCTAGAATAGCAGAAACATAGGTGTCAAGCTTTCGTATTATCCAGAATACTCGCTTTCTAGTTTCCCGCTCAATAGGATTGAAGTTGCCACTGAGACTACGGTGTAAGCCTATGCGCAACGCAGATCTCAGGGCAAGACCTATGTAAGAATAGCATATGCTCAAGTTTGATGTTGCTTGTAAGAACAGGATCATGAATATAATTGTTTGCAAAGACGTCATGTCGCGACAATCAGTGAGATCCATCATTTGCCGAGCGGCCTTGTAAAATTTGAATCTAATGAGATGTTAGTCTTGCAATATGTTGGAGACAAAGTAGCACCAAGATCTAAGCTTGTACTCATCCGTGAAGTTCGGGTAAGACGAAGCTACGGAGCTATATGCGAACTGTCGCTAGAAAGACTGCACTCACCCTTGATCCATACTACTTTTATACTTCTTTCCATTCGGGTCCGTGGAATTAGAGGGCTGTGACGAGAACATGCAACCCAAAGCTAAAGCCATATATAGTAACGGCAGGAATTTATGCTCCTCATCACCAAAACTGTCAGGTGGTAGATCGTATATCCTATTCAACATTTCATAAAAACTGGGTTCATGAACGAAACGTAAGAGACAACAAGCGCAATGCAATGAATCTTCACATAAAGACATGGCCACTTCTCGTGGGGGTAGATCCATTGTGTTGGGAAGACCAGAATCATAAGGGGAATCAGTAGATGATCTTGGGGATTCGAAAGTGGGCGGCATTTGCGCACGTGGTGGTTTGGGAAGCAAGTTGGGAGATCCGAGTAAACTACCAAATTGTTCACGTAAACGTTTAATGAAGACAGTTCCCGAGGAACCACCATGAAAGTCCCAGTTTCCACGTTCGTCAAGATCGAGTTGCCCTGTAGATTCTATCATTGATCGCAACTGCGCATCTTCTTCTGATAGCTGTGGCGGTTGTGGGGTCGCGCTTCGCATGGAGCTCGTGGTCGAAGGGGTCGTTGGCGCAACCTGTCGGTGTAGTAATGATGCAGCATCTATGTTTGGATCGTTCAGATTTATGTTTGGGAGATAAGCTTTTATAATGCTCTCTGCTCGTTGTAGACGAAGCTCCAACGATTCGACATACTGCGGCGCTGGGTTCCTTCTTCTATTTGAGGGCTGATCATATGTACAATCTGTTTTGGCACGTTGGTCAACGATGGATGTAAAAATACGTAAACCACAAACAGTATCGTACCATAACTATATACAGTGCAATGAGTACAAGGCTGCTTTCCATCACACTTTATTTTCTTCCTCCTACATTCATCACAAGCCCTTGTAACTCGTCTCCTCTTTTGCAAGGGCGCCGGACGTGGTTGCGATGAAGGCGCAGGCCAATCCTCTGCTGGCTCAAGGTCGGGCGATGATTGATTCGGACTGAGAGGAGTTTCTTGACTTGATTGAGTTTGAGCTGCGGGTTGCGATTGCGGCTGTTTGTCGGTTGATGTGCCTGACATCTTTGAAAGATTATAAGTAAGAAAATTGAAAAAGACTTCTTGAGTCGCAATCTCAATGAGAGAAAGGAAATGATGAATCAATTGTAACTTTCTATTATTCTGCTACGATTAATGGAATCACAAATCGGACTGGCCGAATGAGGTATTGGTAAGGAAGGTAGTGCTCGGGCAATTGACCCCTCTTATTCTGATTGAATAGTCTTGACGTTGACGCCCTCGGATATAAGGAAAAACTGGGCTGAACAAGAAGAGTCAATAGGAAAAGGGTAAGGCAAGGTAGTAGCAATTGACAAGAAATGTTCCGCTTGGCAGCGCAAGAGATGCAGATATTGAGGTCTTGGGAGGTCTGACAATGTATGGATGTATGTATGGATGTATGGATGTAAGAAAGTAATTAAGAGAGCGTGCGAGAGGTCGATCGTTTTCTTCTAGTGACTCGATGGAATTCTATTATGCATAAATTGCATGAAGTACCCAGTCTGCTGAATAATAGCATACCATTGGGGGAAAAAAAGGATATTTCTTCTTTCCTCTTCCTGTTATTCTTGCATAGGGACATGTAAGGAAAAGGTATGCGGACGTAAAGAAAATAATGGATGGAGCAATTGCCATTGTGCCATGGTTCAAGCGTTACTGTAATGAGATAACGACTAATAAAGAAAGGATGATTTCACCCGAATATGCAAGCAAGCAAGCAAGGCGGATCTTGCGGACATGAAAAGATGGGATGGGATTGGATCGAATTAATTGATTAATTGGGTATCCCGAGCTGCTCTCTCTTTTGGGTCTTTTGGGTCTTTTTTTTTTGGCTTTGAAATGGATTGGAAATATTGAAATAATTGGGTCCTTCATATGGTAGGAGGGACCAGTGAAGTGAGTGAAGGTAGGCGAGGTAGGCGAGGTAGGGTAGGTAGGGTAGGTATGATGGAGAAATGGAGAAGTGAAGATGGAAAAAGAAAGAAGAAGGAGAAAAGAAAGAAGAGGAAGAGGAAGAAGTGATTAAAGTGATTTATTACCTTTGTAGGTTACAACTATACCAAGGTCCAAGGTCGGTGGGTGGTGGATAGGTAGGTCGGTTGATGGTAGATACTAGGTAGGTAGGTAGGTAGGTATGAAGTAATAAATAGACATTTCCCCCCTTTGCTCTTTGAGTCCCTTCCCTCTTGGATTGTTGTGTTCTCGCCATTTGACGTTCATTGATGTGATAATAATTCAATAAAATAATCTATTCTGTACGGTACGGTACCTAGGTAAGTGCGAAGCAAATACAGTAAGAGTTCACGATCGACACTCAGTCTTTCTCAAATAGGTGAAGGTGTGCAAAGCTTAAAGGTGCAGAATAGTGGGGCAAAATGGAAAGATTTAAGAAAACGCCAGAACATCATTGCCAAGCCACTTGGAATCATTCGATAAGAGGTCCGCCGTCGAGCGGGATCATTAACCATTAAGTAATCATGAGCAGGGATCGTGAAGGGATGAATTCCGTATTCGCTCGATTAACCCAAGTTGGGTCACACCGTCACCGGACTATACCGCATACTTGTTAGGAGTCGAATTGTGAATGTCGGAACGTCGGGACTGATCGAGGCGAGGCGTGAGGAGAGGAGAGCATCATGTAAAATGAACGGGAGGGAAGAGAGAGCAGACGTTGAATGCTGTGAGGTATTTGTAATATGGCCATTCGCATGTGTGGGCGTGTACGGTGTCGACTCCGTATCTCCCTCCCTGGCTTTTCCAGCCTTGTGAGTTCAAGGATGTTCCATCTACTCCGTATTATCTGATGAGGGGTCCGAGGAGAAATGACAGAGATATCAATGGCAAAGTCTTGGCAAGGCGGAAGCTAGCGAGGATGCACATCTTGAATGACTCAAATTAATCCATCAGGTTAATTGCACTTATTCACATGCGGTGGATCATGGACGATATATGTAGATACCTAGGTAGGTACTATTATAGATGGACGAAGTAAGTTGCACAATAATAATAATGAGTCCTAGGTAGGTAGGTAGTCACGTGGTAGTCAATGTTTTCATCCGAACATAATACTCGACTCGTTTGAATCCGAGGGATAATCCGAATGTAACAATCACTCAATTAATAGTAAGACTTACCTACCTACCCACCTAGCACTTTTCATATTCCACCTCCACTTCCACTTTCACTTCCATTCCCATATCCAAATATCCATGGATATACTAGGTCCTAGTAGCCACTGCGAAATCCATTTTTGGTGTGTGCCACCGTGTGGGCTATTTTGTGAGTGTGGGGCCTACTTCCTATTCTGTACACTTGCATTTGGCAGATGACTTTCCTTTATCCAGATACCCAGGTAGGCAGTACTTTTCGAAATCCGACTAGCCAAGTAACCATTCAGAAGAAGAGATGCTCCCAACTACATTTGGAGATTTATCATGGCTTGGTATCCTCTTGTCCCTTTCTTTTTTTCTGATCCCACCCGAGCCACCTTATTAGTAGTATCTACCTAGTACTTAAGGTCATTCTCGTATCTGTACTGCATATCTCTCCTCGGGTCTACTTCAAGATATACCCGGGTAAGGCTGGGAGACCCATTGTCTTTTTGGGAAAAAATATAAAATTATGTCCGCACTCTTCTCTGTACAGTGTACATATCTCATATGCCGTTCATCACATCCGTGCTGTCCTGTTTTGCTCTTGGAAGGTCGACTCGACCCAGGTATCCTTGTTCAAATAATACGGCGTTTTCAGATGACTTGCATCAAGGCGTCATTTCCTGTGATCATTTCACTCTTTTCGCCCAACTCCAAATCCTTATCAATCTAATAATATAAAGTATTCAATCCAGCCAGGTAGTAGTAATAAGTATTGGGTGGGTGGGGAGATATGCTCACATCATTCATCACGTTCCAAGATACAAATAGATTTGCTTTGCTTTCCACCCATCAAATCCTCATCGTTTAACGCCATTCAACGCCCACCTGCATCCCCCGAGCCCCCCCCCACGACGAATCAAGCCACAAGCCACAACGCAAGTATCATGAGCCCAGCTGGAGAGTTTCTAGATTCTCCTTAGTGCCCGCATAAAAGGCGAATGAGGGGCAAAAATTGGAAAATGGAAGAATTTCAAGGTTGGAAGGAGGGGCATGGCCGCATTTGAGTGCGTCATACCTCAACGTACTCCGTACTCTGGTACCCTTCTTTGTCAATTGCATCAACTTTTACGAATAGCAAAACTTCAGAACCACACAAATGTCATATATCGTTGTCTTCATTGGCTCCATGGGCTTCAGTCCCTTCACATCCATGATATGAGACAATGAGCTTCATGGATTATAATTTTTGGTTTTCGTCTTGGTAAGGTAACTTTGGGTAAGGGAGAGAGAAAGAACGGAAGACATACAGAAAGAAAGAAAGAAAGACAGAAAAGATGTACAATATACATACAATACAGGATGCAATAAGAAAAGATCCATCCAATGCAATCCTTCTTTTATTTGGGTCTGGCTGTCAGAAAACCACAATAAGTGTCAATCTCTTACACACATGCTCATTTTCATTCTCATCAATTGGTCTATCAGATGTGCTCTCTGGGATTCTGACTTCACTACCCACACTCTACATAGTATAGTATGATGGGTTAGCAGGAAATATACCTTGGTAGTAAGTAACTTTACACTCTCATATGCTCGCTACTACTATTTAAACTTAAAAGAATCTATCTTCTTTCCAGTCCTCTTTTCATCTAGCATTTATTATTTTTTTATCCAATCGAGTTGCAAGATTTGTAAAATCTTAGATTGTACCTGAATTACCTACCCTGAATTGTTCTGGAAACGAACAACAAAGGAACCCTTTGACAACTTCACAAAGCTCTACTTGAGATACAGATTGCTTGAATTGGTTTGTCAGGTGTTTGGATCCTGTTATTATCATTTACAACTTCAATTGATAGATTTGATATAAAATATAACCAGCAAGATGACTTCCATGAAACCAATCTTCTGTGCTACCCACCCCAGAGCTTGCTCTACCGCATTCGAAAGAGTGAGTTCCCAATTGATTCCGCAGCTCTCTTGGCCAATTGACTAATGTATCTTTAGGTCTTTATGACTCGCGATGATGTCCTTGCCTGTGTTCACGAACCCTTTGGAGATGCATTCTACTTTGGTCCCGAGAGACTTAGCCCGAGATATGAAGATGATGAAGCCGCGCGCCAGGAGAGTGGTTTCGCAGATAGTACATATAAGACGATTTTCGAGAGAATTGAGAAAGAAGGCAAAGAGGTTAGAATTAAATCCGCTTCCACTGTTATCCCGGTTTTACTATTACATGGCTTTGATCCTCCAGGTATCTCGGAGCTCTCGAGATTAGTTTGGGTATAAGACAAGCGTCTGACACTATGGACTCTATTTTTTACTATTTGATACCCAACTATTCTCTACACCAAATTATCAGAGCTCGAGTCCCATCTTTTGTATTCCACGTCCTCTTTATCACTCTAAACTATCTCATGGAACATATATTTTTCATGCGCTCGAATTTGAATCCATATCAGCATGCATTGTTATTCTGATGAATCAGCAACTTACGCCAAAATAGGGAAAACGACTATTCATCAAAGACATCATTCACTACCTTGTACCTCCTCAAGGGAAACCAGCATCAATTGCTCCCTCGCTCGGAGGTAAAAGTGTCAAGAAGGGTGTCGGTACCAATGGCGAAACAAACGGAGTAAATGGGGCGTCAAATGGGGAAACCAATGGAGTTAACGGCCACACAAATGGTCATACCAATGGCCATACAAATGGACACACCAACGGACACTCTAACGGCACCACCGCCAAAGCCCCATATCCATACAACACCGTCGCCGAGCCTGGAAATCCCACTGTCGTCCCCGCAGAAATTCTCAAACAATTCCACTTCACCTTCCTCATCCGCCATCCCCGCTCCAGCATCCCCTCCTACTTCCGCTGCACCATTCCTCCCCTAGACAAAGTAACTGGCTTCTACAACTTCATGCCCGAGGAAGCTGGTTACGATGAACTCCGCCGCGTCTTCGATTTCCTACGTTCCAATAACCAAGTTGGTCCCCACATCGCCAGAACACCCGAGTCTGAGGCCGAGAATCTGAAAGATGAGGAAGTGAGTATTACGGTTATTGACGCAGATGATCTATTGGATAATCCAGAGGGTATCATTAAGGCGTATTGTCAAGAGGTGGGCTTGGAATATAATGCCAATATGTTGATTTGGGATACTGAGGAACATCACAAGAAAGCGCGAGAGGCGTTTGAGAAATGGAGGGGCTTTCATGATGATGCGATTAATTCTTCGAGTTTGAAGGCCAGGGAACATGTAAGTTTTTTTCATCTTTCCTTTCTACTTTTCCCTTCCTTTTACGGATTGAGTTAGATTGAAATGATAACGCAAATACTAACACATTACAATTAGAAAAAGAAACCCAAGACCGTAACTCAAGAAAACGAAGAATGGACCGAGAAATACGGTGCGGACGCGGCGAAAATTATTCGCGAAACGGTGGATGCGAATATTGAGGATTATGAATATCTGAAAAGTTTTGCGGTTAAGGTTTAGGGAGTTTCCTCTTTGGGAGAGGGGAGGGAGAAGATGGATTCTCAAGGCGGGAAAGGCGAATGGAAAAACGGAACAATAGATGGATGCACCATGAGAGTGATGAGAGTGGGCGGTTTGGTATTTGGAATGGGGTTGGTATGGGATTGGATGTGGGAGGATAGGATGATGGTTAGGAGATTATTTTTTTTGTGAATATATATGTGTTTGTGTATATATGTGTGTGCTTTGATATGATGTGATGTGAGATGGGATCGAGTATATGAAACATAAAGCCTGAGATGACAAGGGTGGAAGAGAAAGAAAGGAGATAGGAGAGATCTCGCTTGTGGTATTTATATATATATTCATTATTCTCTGTACTTCACAATTTGGTATAATTTGGTTTTGGTTTGGTTTGTTTTCTTTGGATATAAAAATGAGGAGAAGGAGAAGAAGAGGGAGAAGGAGTAGATAGAAACGATACTATTGTGTATATAAAAAATACAGTGTGTCATGTCATCCTTTTTCTATAGTGAATAGATGCCTACCTAGGTGTATATATATACCTATTTCTATCCATCTAGCATTTTTGGTTTGAAATTTAAACTTTGTATATATGTTCATATATGCATACCTAG